CCCGGCTGCTCCCCGCACACCTGCGGCCTTTAATTGACTGATTGATCGTGCTGTCTGTGAGCCAGACCACCTGCAGCAAACACCACATCGACTGGTGCTGAAATGCCACAGAGTTACAAAAAACACAAACTAGACCACAAAAGTGGATTAGCGATCAGATGTCCCCGGCAGAGGATGGACTCTGGGATGAATGATACGTTATTAGTTTGAACAGCATGAATGTTGAATGGTGGAAGAGATGAAAACCTTCCCCGCACTGTGAAGAAAGCAGTGAGTCACCGCGCTGTTTTCCCTCGAGCTACGTTAATAGAGCGAGGATGAAGAAGTGAGTGCGTTTCCTCGGCTCAGGAGTCAAAGTTTAACCGTCTCCTCTCTCTCTGTTTGCTCAGGACAGAGCGAGCAGGAGTGGGAATGTGTGCTGTGTGTACTCAGGGAGGGCTTTGTGAGGACACCACGCCCCGCCTGCTGCAGCACACAGTTTAAACTCTGAGAGAGTGTTGATCTCTCGATGAGGAACTATAATGTTATTGAGGCTTTCTCAATGTTAGTTTCACTTTATATATGTTGTTGACCAAGTATGGCATGGCTGTCAGAATTAAATGTGACGCTGTAACCTGACATTTATTAGTATATCACACACCTACTAATATAACGATATATAATGATCTGCAGAGTCCCTCTGTACCTTTTAAGAAAAAGCTAAAGACCCAGCTCTTTCATGAATACCTACTAACTTAATGATGATGGTCTCCATATTATTGATGATGATGATGGTAATGACGATGGTTTTTGTTTGATAAGGACGACTTATAAGATGGTTTCTATACTGATTAGAGCTCTCAAGAACTGCCCTCAATGTTGTGTTTTGCCTCTGGTCACTTCCTGTCAGCACCTGTGTGTCCAATCAGACTCAAAGCTGATCGTTTGCTCTTACTGACATTGTTCCCTTTTTTCTAGATCCTTGCTTGTGTTGTTCTTACTCTCTGATGTACGTCGCTTTGGATAAAGTGAATTGTAGAATAAGATAGCTGTGTTGTCTAAATGTTGCAGGAACATTTAGGTCGATAACTGTAGCTCTGTGTCAGTGTTTGCTGAGGAGATCTGTCAGTTTTAGTTAGAAATAGTCAGAAAAGTTCACTTACCAACAGCTAGAAAAGTAGTTTTTTTTCTACCTCACTGTCTCTGGGCATGGCAGGGCAAGACTTAGAGATCTCAGCAACTCTTGGATGGTTTACAGTGAAATGTTGGACGGACATTTGTGGCAGCTGCGGCTCAGTGCTAAGAGTCGGTCATCTCACAATCGGAAACACTGGCATCGAATCCTACTGCAGTCCACATGTCGAGGTGTACTTGGACGAGTCAAACCGTCACATAGCTCCTTGGCATCAAATAGTGTGTGAATGTGTTTGAATGGGATTTGTTGTTTACACTGAAGGGCAGTTTACATAGCATTGCTTTGCAAACTGAAATATGATCGTGAACATGGTTAATCAGCCTTCTAGCTGTCAATGTGAGCCATTTAGGTTGATGATGTTAGCAAGTAACTGTACGAGTCTCAGTGCCAAAATGGCTCTTACGTTTTGCTCCAAGTGAAGTCAGAACAACTATAACTATAAAAACTATATTAAGCAGTGTGAATCGTTTTAATGCAAAGGTATCTATAAAACATCTAGGGCCCAACCGACGTGGGATTTTTTGGGCCGATACAAATATCTGTAATAGGGAACGTGTTGGACTCGTTACTGAAAAAAAGGAATATATTACTCATTACTTTTTACTCTAACAATAATATAATATAATCACTTTACTTATTACTCCCTGCCAACAGTAATATGTTAAACTACTCGTTATATTACTTTTTGTATTAAGCCACACGTTTCATTAGTTCTTTTTCGCTTGTAGCTGTCCATGATTAAAATCCAGTCTTGGTTGTTTTGTAGGGCTCCAGCTATCCTCCGCGGCCGCAGAGGGCTCGCTGGTGGGTTTTATTTACAGGAGCTTCACGTTGTTGTGCTGTTGTTGTTGTAAGTGCTTAAGGAGGTTTGAGGTTGTGTTTTTTGCAGTAGAAAGAGACCTAGTACCGGGACACAATCTACATCTGACAACAATGTTCTCCTCATCTTTCTTCTCGAGAAAACTAAAGTATTGGGAATATTTCCAGCCCCTGAATGTAAACATAAGCGCTTCCATCTTCCAAGCTAGCCAGGGTTGCCAGGTCTGTTTGACAAATACTGACAAAATAAGGCCAATGGCCAAAAGAAAACTACCCGCGGTAGCAACTAAAATGATAATAATCTGGGGATTGTTGCATTTTAAATCAGAAGTAGGGTAATAACAACAACAGTAAGGTAGTAACGAGTTATTTTTTGCATGAGTAACTGTAATATTATTACTGGAATTTCATTAGTAATTCGTTACACTACTCGTTACTAGTAATGCGTTACTGCCCAACACTGTTAGGGAGATACCGATATATCGGCCGATATCCCTCTTAGATCTATCTTTGATCTGTAGAGATAGATATAGGTATAAACATTTTTTGATCCCTCAAATGCAGTTATCAAACACTTGCAGAAAAGATATATAAGAAAGACAACATGGTCACTGAACTGGAAAGTGACTGAGCATGAACGTGCATCACCGCTCGACACTCTGGAGGGTGATCATGCGTGTCTTAATCCATACAGCGCCATCTGCTGGTGACAGTCAGAAAGAGAACTGCTAGTGTAATATAATGCTACTCAAATGAAATGCGATTTGACTGGTGAATAAATCTAATCACATGGTCGCATATCAGAGATAAAATTAACCGATACCAATATTAGCTTGATGATTTGCTAATATTGGCTCTAAAAACAACATAAGTTATCATATACAAAAACAATATCACTTTATCATATACTAAAAACAACATAAGTTATCATATTGAATACACACCTCACGTTTAATACGTTGGCCACAATGCAGCTGCAGTTCATCTTAATATGCCAAAATCACTGATGTGCTTTGTGTTGCAAATGAAGCTGAGGCGATGTCTGCCGGTTCATTAGTGCTAATTCATGTAAAGTGAAGGGAAGAGGCGAGAGAAGAAAGGGTGAGGATGAAAGAGACGGTGATGAATAAGGACTGAAGGAGGCTGGTGTGGCTTTATGCAGATCCCTCCACTCCATTCAATTCTCATTTCCCAACATCATTTTCCGTGAGCACTGGTAGATTTCTTCCCTTTAGTTTCTCATCTTGAGGAAACCTACTGAAAAAAACCTATTTCTGTTCCAATCATTTTTTTACACATCAGTTCACTTGATCTGGTTCAGCAGTTAGTTTGATGACAGTGTGTGTGTGTGTTTGTGCACTTACCTAACAGGGATTTAAGGTGTCAGTTCACATTCATCAACAGGGGACTAGCTGGCAAACAGCACATTTTATAAGATCCCTCCTTGGCCAATTTTCAAATCGCCCTCAAATCATGTCAAAAACCACCCTGGTGAAGTTTTCAACTTCTCACTAACTGGGGACCTCGGCAACCCAGCGACCTAGGTGTGTACGTGTTCAGATTTAAAGCTTTCTATGTGATTTTTCACACTTAAATGTAGAAATCAAGTATCTCTCTGAAAATAACTCTGTGAGTCATGACTGTCTACAATGGGTGTAACACCCGAGTTCCACTGTCTGTGATGTTTTCAGAGTTTTCAGAGTCCTATCTTCACTTTGTTTACATCGCCGGACGGCCGGCTGACTCCTCCCCTCGTGTATAAAAGTTGTTTAATTGAGGGACTAGAGAAAAGAAGAATAACATACTGTACTCACTGCTTAACTGTGTTTCTAGATCACGCTCATTTCAGGTAAATTTACATGCAGTGTGAAGATACCAGCATAATAAAGATCGCTAGCATTAGCATGCTAACACAACAATGCAGCGTGAGTTGTTTTGGTTTCATGCGGGTGCTCAAGGGCGACATCTGCTGGATCAAAAAATCACATATAAAGCATATAAAGCACATAAAAGTGTTTGTGTATTTGGTGTGTGTTTTGTGTGTGTTCGGTGTGTGTGTCCCTTTATAGCATTCTAAAATCAGAATTTCTCCGAGCAGCCGTGGCATCAGGAGATCTCAGAGCCACTTAACATTTAAATAGCACAGCCAGTAGTGACATTTTCACTGCTTTACCCCTTTAGTCCCTTTGGACTACTTATCATAATCATAGCTCATGTTGTTCAATCCCTATCTTCCTACAGTCCTTATGCCTTTGTCTTTTAAGAAGATAGTCTTCTCAGACAACAGACAACATGAGAGTCTACAGCTAAATAAAGTTTTTTGAATTTGAATTTGAATTTGAATACCAGCAGCTCTGTAAGGTTTTCTAATTGGCACTACTTCTGCTTTCAGCTTGATGTTAATATGATGATCTGGATGCTTGATTAAAAAAATAAGATATGAAGGGGCATGATAATCTGTCACTAATGTTAGTCCAATAGTTGTCCTGGATATTTCACTTAAATACAAAACTGTCAACTTCATGTCGAAATACAGTCAGGGAAACTCCAATTAGCTTCATCATAATGATAATGTGCATACATAATAATGTATTGTTTGAAACAGTGTTGGACCGACAGACTGACATTGCCTTACCCCTATGACTTCACTCTTTGAACAAAAGCGCTTTATAACTGAATGTTATCTGTCAGTGTGCACCGGCATGCAGGTGTCCAGATAATTAGAACAAGTATGGAAGAGAGGAGAGGTAGAGCTCGGCTAATAGAAGTTGAGAAATGTTGTTCTCTGAATGTCAGGCTTGCAGCCTAATTGGGAAGTCGTTAAGCTGTTGCCGAGCTGTCAAATATATCTACCAATTATTAGTGCCTCCCCCTTGTTACCCCTAAAAATCATTTTTCATATTTTAATGAATGCTTCTTACACTAGCGAAAGATAAGCATAGATTTTGTTAAATGGCAGACATCTCTAAATATTTATTTCCCTTGTGTCTGTTTTGACTCCATGCAGGTTTCCTGAGTCAGGTCCTAATTATCTGCAGCCCCCCCCCCCCCCAACTAACAGAAGATCGCAGAAGGGGACACTGGAGGGACCCCGGTAAGAGATCAACAGAGAGGGCAAAGTTGTAAAAATGCAAATAACAGGAATAAGATTCAACAGGCAGGTATGGAGAGGCAGTTAAATACAATGAAGGAAAATTAGTTTAAAATCAACCAGGAGAGAACAAAATAAAAATTGAGGGAGAGTGGGACGACATCACATCACAGGCTGTAAACACAGAATGAAGATAAACAGGAGATCGGTTCAGAGTGTCAATACAGTCTGAAGGAAAGCTCCAAGTAATCACAATATGCTCAGGTTTATATACACATGCTTCACAGAAAAACCTTCATGCCTATATCAGGATTGCCGATACAGGCGCAGTCAAATATCAAATACATTTTAACACGTCGCACAACAGTAATGTCAAGGAAACTTCAAGTCTGAGTATCTTTGATATTTAGCTATTTGTGAGAAACCTTCATCCTCGGGTAAAGACAAAACAGCAATATTACGTATTAAATTAAAGTAAACAGAATTATTCCATTACAATAGGAATTTAAAAAGACTAAGAGCAGTAAAGTGAAGACAGGAAGGGATACATTTAAAGGCTAAAACATTTAAAGAAGAGAAAGATAAAAAGGTTAAAAGCAATACAATTAATAAAGGAAGGGATAGATCTAACTAATAAAGTTAGATGTATGATAGAAGAACATCTTTCTAACTATTAACAGAGCATTACTAGAAGAACAGCTTACATCCTCTGTCTGCAGCGTCTTTGCTTGACTGATTTATTTTCTTTGCTAAGTGTAGACTGAGGGACCAATGGAGGAGATCGGGGAGGATCTGAACCTCTCCTTTCTGCTGGAACATGAAAGAGAGATGATCCTGAAGGTGCTGCAGAAAGACGAGAAACTGAGGAAACGAGAGGAGAAGAGGATACGGTGAGGACTTCAGCGTCACCATTTAATCTTGTGTTTCTCTGGTTTTGTTTCTCTTCTTATCCCTTAATGTTTTCTTTTTTCTGTCCTGTAGGAAGTTGAAGAATGAGCTGCTGGAGATCAAACGGAAAGGCTCGTGTCGACCGCACGAGCTGGGGGAGCGGCAGTGCGCTCGCTGCCTGAAGAACTTGGGTCTGATTTTTGACCGTGGAGATCTGTGCGACGAATGTCAGATGCGCGTGTGCAGCGAGTGCCGCGTTAAGGCTCCCACATCTCGGAATTGGAAATGCAACGTCTGTGCCAAGATCTCGTAAGTGTGGTTGCCAGCGGGGGACCAAAATATGGTTTGGATCAGAGGGTTTATGATACCACATCTGTCCCTGTTTGTTTTTGTTTGTTATTTTATTTAACCAGGTAAATAACCTCAGGCACTGTCTGATTGTCTCGCGTTTTTTTAATCTTTTAAGATCGAGGCCAAAGGCTTCAAGCGAAACGAGATCCGCCATTTTCAAGTCATTTTGGAGAAAGTTCCATGCATGTTTGTCTTTGTGGAACTGAGGGGGATTTCAAAGCTGTGATCTTTTAGATGACTTACCCAAAATAATAAACTAAAAACAACCCATATGAGACCTATTTTTTTTTTTTTAACTCAGTTTTTATTGAATTTTTACGCGTTATACAGCACAAAAAAGAAGGAAAAAAAGCACAGACTTACACATGAGAAACAAAAACAGTACAGGAATGCATGCTAAAAAACAAAAGAAAAACAAAACAGGCCAAAGGTCAAAGAGTCAAGTTTTGCATTATTACATCAAAACAAAAGGAGTCAGGTTTAGGAGTTAGTTCATTCCAGTTTGTACCCGTTCCTCCAGTGCATTCTTTCCTAAGTCAATCTGTACTGTACTACTTTTAATTCACCTTTTTCAGGGTCTTGTTTTTGTGCATGCAGGTTGCAGGTATGCTTAATGGAGCATCATGTTTGCCCAGCTTTGTACAAGAAAACAGACATTTGGCATTTATTGTGGATTTAAGAGGCTGATTACCTCCAGGGAAAACAATGATAGCATATTTATTATTATTAATAATAATAATAATAATGATAATAATAATGATAATATTAATGCATTAGTTTTATATAGTGCTTTTCTGAAAACTCAAAGACGCTTTGACAAAAACATAAAACAAAACAAAAAAGGGAGGAGAAGGAGGTGAGTGTGGGGGAGTCTCGGATGTTTTTTGGGGACTGAGTTCCAGAGGGTGGGAGCCGCAAGGAGAAAGCCCTGTCTCCCCAGGACTGATAGTTTGTCCTGCCGGCGGGGGGGGGGGACTGGAGGTTTGCATCAGCAGACTGAGTGTGCCGGTGGAGGAGCTCAGACAGGTAGGGGGGAGCCAGGTTGCATTCAAGTTCTCTTCTGCCCTATTCTAAATAAACACCCGATGGCCATAAGATATTGTTTTCTGTTTTTAAAACTTTTTTTCAACTTTCTTCTTAAAGAAAGTCTCGCTCCAACACCTACGCATGGAGCCCGCTGGTACAGAATGAAACACAAGCAGACACAGCAGTCTAGGAGAAAAACAACACTATAGGCATGTTGTAGCATTGAGCTGCCAGTAATATGTGAATGTTGTTTGTTGCAGGGAGCTGAAGGTGGTAACAGGAGAATGGTTCCTCGAGGAGCGGTCCAAGCGCTTTGAGCAGGAAGTGGCGTGCAGCGATGTGATCAAACACACGATCATTAGCAGCCCCATTAGTGAGTTACACTCTGTTAAGCTTGTTATGTAAACCAATGGAGTTGAAAACAATCTTAATGGGTTTCTTTTGTTTTCTTCTGTCACAAGTTTCTTTAAAAAAGTCGACAGAAAACCTGTCGGCCGCATCAGAATCAGAGCGAGCCGACACTCCTAAATCCAAGAGAACTGGAATGCTCAGGAAAGGGTAAGTAGAGTTTACGAAGCCGTTCAATCAATCCAAAAGGAGACTTAAAGAAACACCATGAAAAACCACAAATGGAAAGAAAATGTCATTGGTTTAAGACTTGAGTTCAGTACATGACGTTAAAAAGGTCAAGTGGATGCTCATCCGATTTATCAGAAACCATAAATCTTTTGAAAACACATTTAGTAAAGTAACAGAGCAGTAATTGGATTGTGCTCTCTAACATCACTCCTCATCTTAATTCACTCGATTGTCTCCTGAAGGCATCACAGTGAGTCACACAAAAAAAAGCCATTTAGGCAAAACGCCTCTAATAAAATGAAGAAATGAGGATACTGCGCGACAGGGCGGCTGCAGAACACCCTCTGACTTTAAAGTATTTCTTTCTACATGGGAAAGACTGTCTCCGGCATCTTGTTGAACCACTCAGAGAGCGAATAGATTACATATTTTACATCTTCATCAGTGTTGTCAGAACTCAATATGATGAACACATGTGGAGGTGTTTCAGCCGGAGAAAAGTTGGTGACAAACTGACCAACGTTTTTCATGAAAGTGACAAAAAGAGGGGAAAAAAAAGTCTGAATGGAAATGGCTAATCTTATAATTGCAATAGAATAATAAACAGGGCTTCCATCCTAACTACGGTGCATTTTCTCGCTGGGTTTTAACCTGTTAACTTAAGTGACACAGTGTTAGGGTTTTGTAATAATACTTAATATCGCTGTGTGTGTGTTTGTGTGTCTGTGTGTGTAGAAGGAAGATGGATAAAAAAGGCACCCGATCGACCTTAAAGCCAGAGAATGGAGTCGACAGTCCAAGTCCTAAATCCCTGTCAGATGGAGATGCTCAGAGCCTACTCAGTGTTCGCTCGTCTACCACTCTACATACAAATAGGTGAATAGATTGATACCCGTTCTCAGCACTGACGAGGTATTGTATTAGTATATACAGAGTTTATTTCAGTTTGAAAAGTAAGGAATTACAGGCTTCAAGGATGACTGAAGAAAACATGCAATAAAAATATTTTAAATTATATGAAATTTACAGTAAAAAAAAAAAAATCTCAATCACATTATTTTTATCAAATTACTGTCACGTTGGTGGATGAAATCTCATTTTTCCAGGATTTTAGGGGTGGAGGGTGGGACATTGCTAGACTTGAATTAACAGTATTTATTAAAATAGAATATAATTACTTTATTGATCCCAAACTGGGAAATCGTGGAATTTTATTATTATTATTATTGATGAAGACAAATTGTTATTGAGTGTTAAACTAGTTTTGTTCTGGTTTTCAGGGGCGCTGCGTTGGCCTTGGAGTCCTCAGGATTGCCCACGGTCCCTAACAACCTGCGATCCCAGCCTGCAGACCGATCTCAAACTTCCAACGACAACCGGAGGGTCAGGGTCAGCAACTCATTCACAAAACACAAAATCAGAGTAACACACTTGGGGGGGAAACAATTATAATTTCATATATTTGTATTATTTAAGTATCTTTGGCGTGTGAATTTTGTGTTTGCACACAGCCTGATGGAGCGGAGAGTGTGGCCAGTTTACACTCCAGTGACAGCACACCTGAGAAAAAAGCACCTGCGTACTACAGGAAGTCTTCAGGCGCCCCGACCATTTCTGTGTCCAAGGCTTCGGTGTCATCAGGTACCTCTGACTACTACAACTCACACTTTGGCTTTGCAATATTTTGTTTTTGCTCCACATTGAGACAAACAGACTCATGCTCTTGTCTCTATAACCCTTTTCACTCATACTGAAATCTCCCGAAAAACTCCAGAGATTAGTCGACCCAGAGGTTCTTTAAGCTGTGTGAATGCAAACAGACACATTTTTCACACAGACTTTACCCAGAGTTTCTCCTCCAGACCCCTGGTATTTTATCTGCAGAACATCCAAGTGAGCTGATGTCTGAACGCTGCAGCATATACTCCAGAGATTTCAACTGGAGCCAATAGAAAGAGAATGATGTTTATATAGTGACTGTTTAAAGTGTCTGCACGCGACCTCTACGATCTCCGTGCTCTAATTAAATGTCTGCATTCTGTTTTCTGTTGGTCAGTTTGTTGTTCTCCTCTCTTTTGTGGATGTTGTCATTCCATTGGATTACACATAGCATTGATATAAAGACAAATATTCTCATTATAACGTTGTGTAGCGGACTCTGTTGCTTCGGCCGCTACTTCCGCGTTTTTTTATTTACATCACGTCTTACCTCAGAAAATCATCCCCCCCCCGACAGAGATAGTCTCCAGCTGTGAGGAGCATATGTGAACGACTAGGTCGAGAGAATCTCCGGAGTGTTCCTCCTGTAAATATCTAGATATTATCCGGAGTGCAGATGTGAAAACAGCTTTATTTTTCACAGTAAACATTTCCACGTCTGAGTCACAGTTTCAAGATGTGTTAGCAGCAGTAGTATTCTGTCAAAGACAGTTGAACCAAGGTCGTGCTGAAAACACTCATCTGCTCTCACACTGACACTGTGGAGTACCTCGTAAAGGACAAAATGACTCCTCCTGTCGTGAGCAGATTTCACGTCTGCAAATTACATCCCATGTTCGCTTCTGTTCTTTTTTTCTGTTTGACCCTTTTTTTGTATTTTAAGTGTAATGACACCCACTTTGTCTGTCCCCGTGTTAGACCTTTTATCTGCACTCCTAACAGCTGTTCAGAGGCGTGTCAAGATTTAAAATTGCTTCATTTAGTGTCGTTAGCGTGAAGAGAACTGCTGAGTCAAGATGTCGAATCATGCCCACAGATTTGTCCGACTATATTAAGCCATTTTACTTTTGCACTGTATTACCATTTTATGGACAGATTTTTAAGAGTCTAATAACTTTATTCATAGGCTTGTGTCTGAGTAAGGTCTTCAGTGGTGATGCTCACTTTATTTTAAATCTCAGACATAGATAGATAGATAAGAACTTTATTAATCCCTTGGGAAGATTCCCTCAGGAAATTCAGATTCCAGCAGCAGGTAACACCAAAGGATAGAACAGCACACAGATACAAAGAATAAAATAGAAACACAAGTTCTATACAAATACTATACTGTACACAGGAGCATCATTTTTTCAGCTTTTTTACACATCTTATCAACTTCATATTTCAAATATGTTTTCCTTTTTTTCATTTGTTTTACCTGATTCTGAAATTAACTTAATTACAAGAACACATCAGTGAGTTGTGAAATATGAATACCTGAGTCGGTGTTGGTTAGATAAAGAGAGCTAGTGCAGAGAAGCGATCGTTTGCTTTGCATCAACACGTAAAGCAGGGGGAACAACTGTGATAGCTCGATCTTTGAAGTTTTTAAAGGATGCCTTCCAGCTCAAAACAAAAGAATTAAACAGTGTTTTTTTAGACCTTGTAAAACGCACAGAACAAAAGTGTATTAATGGATTGAAGTGTGCATGTTTATCTGCTCAAAAGGAAACAGAATTATTAGCATGTATGGCTAAGCAAGAGACCCTTATACTCTCATGACTTAACACTTCTTTGACCCATGAAAACATGACTTTTATTAAACCTGGTTTAAGTGTTTTTTTTCTATAGCCAAATAATTGTACATATATTTGAAAAAACTCAAATTGCTTCGGTAATCAATTGATTCTGTTTTGTGTCCACAACATCCAAATCTGCATAGCAACATCTGCGTATTTTATTGACTGCCGAGAAGCCAATCCACCAATCACAGCCAAAGGTTTTAGTTTTCATCTCTCATTGGACAGAGTTCTTTCAGACTGTTCGTATCGCCATAGCAACTCCCGCCCTTCAGGCCATTTTACAGTAATGCTGCTTGTTATTATACTAAGTAAGTATTTGTTGTGTTCCTCCGGGGATAAAACAACAGAGTTCAAATCAAAAATCAAATATTTGACCTGGATGACCTTAAAGATGAAGAAAACTTCCACTGCTGTGAAATCTTTGGTCAGATTGGGTATCTGAAGAACAACAGCTTTCCAGCTGATGTCAGATTAAATAGCAGGTAAACTAAGACTTCCTGTAAGGACTGAAGTGGGAGGAAACGAGCCTCCCAATCCACAAAATGAGCAGTACTGGGAGTAAACTTGATGAATTACGATTAAAGGAAGCATTTTTTATTGATTTTATTTTACATTTTTTGGTCTTGTTCTTTAAACTTTTATTACCTACGTAGGTTCTGTGACTACTCCATGACAGTCATGACCTTCTTTACCTACATACAATCAGTGTTAATCTTCACATCATTTTCTAATTTAGTCACAGTCTCCTGACGAAAATGTCCTTTATATTTAGTCAGATATTAGTCATTTGTTATTGATTTAATTTAGTCAATTAGTCACTGACTAAAATTGCACATCATTTTAGTTGATGACAATAGAAGATATTTTAGTCAACAAAATCAGACGCAAGCTTTTATTTTGATAATCAGAAGCTCCAAGGGGCGGGGCTTCACAGACCTGCAGGCTCCAGGCTGCACATTGTTGCACACACACACACACACACACACACACACACACACACACACACACACACACACACACACTTTGATGAAGTCTGCTTTGGTTTACAATGATTTCAGAACAGCTGAGGGGGGAAACGTGATAATCCTGACTTGTAATGTAGTTTTCGTTTTGTCACATTTTCGTCAATTAGATGATGAAGTAATATTATTTATCAAATGGTCAAATAGCAGAGTTTCGTCTCGTCATCGTCATAGTTGACTAATTTAAAAAAGAACTTCGTCAACAAATATTTTCGTCATTTATTTTGTTGACGAGATTAACACTGCATACAATCATTCTGAGCTGCATTTGTTACCCATCAACTGCTAAACAAATTCAGTATTTGATTATTACAGTCAGGCAGAGAGTACATCTGCAGACCTTAATGATTTTCCCACTCTCTCCACAAACAGAAAAAATGATGATTAGGTTTCCTCAGTTTTTTGCCTTGAGGTCCTCGACACCCTTCAAACAGCATCTTTAAAACTACTTTTTTTTTTCTCACGCTCTCCTCTTTGTATCCCCCCCCCCCCCCGGTCTTCCTTTCCTTTCCCCCTTCCTTCCCTTCCCTGCAGATCTCAGTCGCTCAGAGATGGACCTGTCAGCTCCTGGATCTGAACCCAGTGACGACGCCCTCAATCTCAGAAGGCATTCAATCGGGCTCACCGAAACAGTAAGAGGCATACATCCCTCCCCCCCCCTTCCAGCTTTTTTTTCCTGCAGAACTGATTACTTGTTTGATTTTTGCAGGTCTTGTTAAGCTTTCAAAACCAAGCATTTAAGTTTAAAGTCCACACAGCTTGTTTGAGGTTTTCAGTCCATGCACCCTGCTAAGCGGCTACATGTACTGCACTGTACATCTGTATCGAGTTCATCTGTGGGCTGATGAAGTTAACGTGATGCATCAGGCGTGGGGCTGAATGTTAATTTCCCTTTAGAGCAGCTCACTTCAAAGAGCATCACAAGCATCTAAACGGCTGTATGCTGAAAAACAGGTGGAGGATCTGATGGGCTGCTTTGTCTCTGTGATTACTCAGTTTATTTTCTATATAATCTTTTCAAACTGCTCCACAAAAACACAGAGACTCACTCAAACAGGATTTTGTTTTTCATCCATTCATGCTCACAAGTTTACTTTTAACCCACCGATATTATTTTTTTTGGCGCGTGAAAAGTGAGTAAACAAATAAATAACCACACTCCTGTCCTGACTTGTCTTGTGTAAATTTATGGAAAACGTTGCTGCATCCGCCCACAGAGAACTCCCATGTGTGGGAAAACTCAAAAGATGCTTTTGGCCAGCTTCCCGGATGCCATCTCCTCCTTCTTTTGATTCAATCTGAACACTGTCATCCGCAGGACTTTACTGATGAGGAAACAGAGGAAGACATTGATGCTCTCATGTCAGCCCACGGGAAGTCTGCGAAACAACGCCCCAGTATCGACATGTCAATGGTAACACCCATGTTAATGCTATTACAAACACAATGTGAGAGCGTAGCTTCTGGGAAAGTCCTGTGTGCTCACGTACAGTACAAACATGAGCATGCACTCTCTGTGTGTACATCATCACCTGACACTTGAGTCAGGTGTGTATGTTCACTGTTGACTGTGTAAACATTGTGGGAGCCAGTCAACTGGTGTCACGAACAGCCTCCACTGCACGCTTAGGACGCTTGCTGCATTTACATGAACGACAGGACTTATAGTATGATAATGAAAGCTTTACTGTGATGTAAGTTAGTAAAGTGTTGGGATGGTTCTGCCTCCTCTAAGTTGTTTTTTATGGCTTTTTTTCCTCATGTACAGTCAATTAACAAACATAACAGAACAACACATTATCTCCCATTCAGTTTTATGTGCACAAGTGTATCATTAAGGATGTTTCATTCATTTGTTTTTGCAACAGACTATGCAACTAAAGCCTGGCTCACACTGTGCGATTTTCCCCCCGATTGTATAAAAGTCGGGGTGGCATGTCAGCTCACACTGTACGACTGAAATCGGGACGGAGCGTTGACAATTGTTAATAAAGTTTCATTTGAAAAAAACAAAGGATGACGGTTAGTGAAAGAGACGGAAGTGGAAGTTGTTGTAGGATATAGAAAAGTTGATACAATCGTAGATATATGGAGACAAATTTGTGCTGCACTGATGATCTGTACAGAAACCTAACCTGCCGCTGGTCGCCATGACTACAGTCCTCCCTTGTCTCTCGTGATTATATTGTAGTCACACACGACTTCCGGACCCTTTCATGACGAAAACGTCAAGATTTTAAATTCTAAATATCAAACATGTTTGAAATAAATCGGGGCGTCCCGACGATCGCCGAGCAGATCGGGGACGTTAAGATTGGATCTTTGGACCGCTCACTCTACGAGATAATCTGAACAGAGAATCGGGTCCGAGCAGCCTCGAGTCGGGAGAGACCCTGAGATTGTCGGGAAGGAAGAATCAGAGCTCAAATCGGCCCGATGATCCCGCAGAGTGAGCCAGACTTAAGTGGAGTTCACTTTGAAATGTTCACAGCAACAAGAAGCTGCGATAGTAATCAATCAATTGAGCCAAAAACCACAAAAGCACGTCTAGCCCGCTTTGTTTGTTGTGTTATTTACACAAACCAAACAATAATCACACCATTATCAAGCACTTGGCACTAGTGGCAAACAAAGCCCTCCTATCTATAATCATTCTCAAATGAACCACTCACTCACATTATCACACATCTTAACACAATTCTTTAATTCTGCAAACCTTTTCAACCAACTATACAGAGCCGAGTCGGGCATACTATCCAGATATTGACCTAGCATATAATTGGCTCATTTCCTGACTCATGCTGTGTTCATTGTTGTGCCTCTGTGTGTAATTTGAGAACTGCATAGATAAGCAGATGAGACAGACGTCCTGCCTGTCTGACATTTATCAACTCATCTTATTATTAATGTATAACAACCGTCGCTGAGCTGCAGTTGTCTGTATGAATGAAAGTGAAAGAAGGTGATACGGGACATTATCGCTGAGATTTGAGTTCCTTATTGAATTGAGCTCTAATATTCTCTGCCCCCTAACGACATGATTCAGTTCATGGAGGGCTTTGGTGGATAATGAAATCACAGCTGAGGTAGTATTAGTTCTATTATTCACTGGTGTAATTTCTAGATTTTTAAATTAAAATAGAAAAATATCTATGCCATATCTATTTTATTAATTCAGTCCTAGAATAAATCTCCCAGTCCAAAAAAAATGGACCCTGTGCTACCTCACTTCTTGTATACAGTCTACTGGAGAGACCCATCTCTAGGTTAAAAATAAAGAGCTCATGCTAAGATAACAAAGATATTTAAAGTCATATGCAGGAAAAAAATAGTTTACTTCATCTCCAAAATCTCTCTTCAGTCTCCCAAAATCTCAAACACTAGGGCTTTGAATGGTCTTGAAAGTAATGGCAGTTCATTTAAGGTGGACATGAATGTTTAACACAATCCATCCCAACAGCGTCTGAGACTTTTCTCCTTTTCTGGAGAACTGGAACGTCTAAATTTTAGATAAATCTTTGCAGTAGTTTTGGTGATATTTCAGTCATTCTCATCCTTTCAGTTAGACAGAAAGAGAGAGGCTTAAACTAGGTCTTTTTTTTATTGTGATAAGGTGTGCAAGTACAAAACAAAAATGTGCACAAAGACATGTCAATTAAAGCAGAAATAAACAAAACAAAATCAAAATATGCAAAACATTAGCAAAGACAAATCCAATTAAAGTAGATATAATAAAAGTCAAATAAACAGAAACAAAATTGAAGATAATTGAGAGGAAAAGAAAAGAAAAAGATATACCTGTCTATATCATGATCTTTACCATGTGTGTGTCGGTGTGTGTCGGTGTGTGTCGGTGTGTGTTGGTGTGTGTTGGTGTGTGTAAGTGTGTGTCGGTGCGTGTAAGTGTGTGTCGGTGTGTGTGTGTGAGTGCGTGTGTGTTTGTTTGTATCCCGTGTGTCCATGTGGATTTCACCGATTCCAGATGAGTTGTAATCTCTGTGGTTTCATCTGATAATCGCCATGGTAACCATGTGTAATGTGGTTTCTGGCTGTGCTGCTGTGTGACAGGGCTTCCTGCAGCTCCTCCTCTGGGGGCTTCTGGGGGTCTGTGCTCGGGGTCTGCTTCTATCACTAACACATCAAAGAGCTCAGATCTCTCTCTCTCTCTCTTTTTCTCTTTTTCTGTCCCCTGTTTATCTGTTTATCTTCAAATGAACCGGCTGCTAGTCTTCCACTCCCGGCTCAGTCAGAAGGTGGGGACACCTCAATGTCCCCGACTCGGACGCTGAGACCGTAAGTCTCCTGCGAATGTCTGCATGCATTAGTGTCCACCTCTACTTTATAGAACAGTTAAGAGTGCAGCGAATCACCACAGCTCAAATATTACATACAACACTGAATAATGTAAATGAGCTTTCCTTCAAACCCCGGCATGTTCAGTGTGTGTTTGTGCTCATGCTTTTTTTTTCTTAAGTGATGTTAGCTTCATTTGTTCCCTGAAAAACTAAGCTACATGCATTACTCTAGTCATTTATCACACCAGCTCCCTGTAGGGAATAAATGAAGTAGACTTTCCAGTAGAAGAAGCACAGTGTGTGGCTCAATTCAGCCTTCTTTCTTCCAGCGTTCTCCAGACATTATCATATTATCAGGGGGATTACAGCAGTTTTATTCATCTCCAAAAGCTTCGACTCTTTCGGTCCGCCTGCTTTCCAAGACGTGTTCCAGATAATGAATACCTACTGTGGTTTTTAGTGAGTCTGTGTCTTTGTTCATAAAATTGGTTTTGCAGGAACACGGTTTTGAGGAGCACAAGGACCGCTTTTTTTAAAGATTAATTTGATCGTTTGTGCAGGAGATGCACACAAACACAGGGCAGTTCTCTCACTGTGGTAATAACGATAACACCACATGAGCGGTAGTTTTCACTCTTTTTCTTGTTATTTATTTATTTCTCCTATTTGTTCCTTTGATAACTGACTTCCATTCTCCTTTTATCCAATCTACATTTTATGTCACCTTAGCTGTCTTTGGTGTTTTGGGTTTTTTTTATTACTTGTTATTGTTGTTGGTCAGCAGAAAGATGAACAGCAATAGAAAGTCATATGTAGACGATCTCCTTTTGACCGGTTACGTTACAGGAAATGAGAAAATAAATAAGAAAGAAGCTAATAAAATAAAACAAACAATCAGGTTGATTGATAGCAGAAGTGCTAAAGAGATATAAAATATAGCACCAAACAAACACATGGACACAAGAGGGAGAAACTTGCATGAAAAGAAAAAGAAATAGAGATGTAAAACACATGAGGCAAACTACAAAAGGAGGTCTCATAGGAGACACCGACATCCTTTTATAGGAAGTAACCTTTAAAAACCCTGGCTGTCAATCAACTCTGCACAGGAAGCTGTCCAGGCTGCATTAAGACAATAATTTACAGTCCATCCTGTCATGATTACTTTCTTTTGTCCAGTAACACAGATAAGACTGATATTTCTGGAACATTATACAAACTGCAAACCTTTTTCATGCACATGATTCTGTGTGTTGAAATGTTGAATTTTCACGTGTTTTTAATCCTTTGTAGAATCAGAATCAGAATCAGAATCTGGGTTTATTGCCAAGTACATTTACACAAACAAGGAATTTGACTTGGTGTATTGGTGCTAAACAATTAACAAGGAAATAAAGCAGAACTAGCAACAACTTAAATAATACAGAATAAGAAGATATTACAATATATAAAACAGAATTTAAAAATGTAAAGAATGAAGAATAAAAATGTACAAAAGGTGACATGTAGGAGCTGTGCAGTGGACTATGAGAAAAAATCTTAGTGTGTGTAACTACTCACACAGTGCATGTAAGGAAGATATTTTTTTAAGTCCAGTGGAATAGATACATGCATGCAGCCATCACTAGGAGCAGTGGTCTTTTACATGTGTAGTAGAGTACCATCACCATCTCCCCTGCACTGAAATCTTCAACCTGAAGTCTAAAGTATACATGCCTGTGGGAGAAGCAGTGTGTTATTTCACATGGCATTATCCTTACCCTTAACATTACCGTGTATTGCTGCAGACTTTATTCAAGATATTTTTATTTCTACCCTATTTCATCAGCACGTCTGTGATATATTAGAAGCTTGTTTTCCTCATCTTGCCTCGTCTCTTTCATGCTTTTGACCTCATGCTGTTCCTTTTCCTTACCTCTTCAACTCATCCAGTGACCTTCTCTTCCCCCCCACCCCTATTATCTGTGTGTATGTGCATTACAGAGTAGCATAAACAGCATGTTGAGCATGTACAGTGAATCCGGTGACTATGGCAACGCCAGGGTGAGCGGCGAGATCCTGCTGAAGATCAGCTACAGCTACAAGACCGGAGCTCTCAACGTCTTGGTGAGGGAGTGTCACAACCTGGCAACCGGAGACGAGAAGAGGCAACGCACCGACGCGTAAGAGTGCAATCACACAAAAACACGATTTAATATCTTAGCTGTCACACTTCTAACGCCACCAGGAGGTCAATTCTATATTCTTGAAGGTTTAGGCAGGCATTGCACCTTGCTGTTATTTTACAAAGATGTAGCAGCAACACTAATTGGGCATTGTTTAAGACTTTGACAAAAACAATCCCAAACTCAAGGTCCACAAACAGTATTAAGTTTATCTGGAGCTTTAGCCACACCACACATCAGCAGATCGGCGGATTGAGTTTGATCAGTTGTTATTGAGGAGGATTTATTCACACGCTTTGGGGATTTTTTTCCCTCGTCAGCATATAAATTAAGCTTTCAAGTCCTTTTCTTTCTTTATATAATTAGTTAATTACTGTTTTTTTACAACAGAGAGAACAACCCTTTTGTTAACGGTCAACAAATCAAACAAATGTAACAAAACACACTAGAACAAAGAAACACAAGGATAAGAAACTACAAAATAAAACAGGAAACACTAAACTATGAAACATTAAGACAAAATCACACAAAGGAAACACACAACACTAGGATGGACAGGAGAAATTAAAACATGGAAACCTAAACACTGAAATACAAAACTAAATGAGACCAAATCATGGTTAAAACAGCAGTTTACCTAATAAGTATTAAAACTTTACTTTTTCTACCTTAGCCAATCAAATACCATGAGACACAACATCTCCACTTCCAGGTTGCCCTGGTCCGGACATCTGCCAAAAAAGAAACTACAGATATTAGTGTATATATCTGTAGTGTATACACACACACACACACACACACACACACACACACACACACACACACACACACACCCCACAGCCCCTTGCTCCCTATCCCTCTTCCTGCATCTTATCCCATCTCTCCCCCTATCCCTTTCCAAGCCCGGCGCAGTCTAGACCTGTGAAGGCTGTTTCATCATGAGCCGGGGATCCAGCAGAAGATTTCTGCCTTTTAATAAGAACGTTTTTTCTTACCACTGTAACTTTTGCTGCTTTGCTAAAGTGCTCATGATGGATAGGCCGGATCTTTGTAACATAGCAATAAGTAAGGTCTTTTACCTGCTTTTTGTAAAGTGTCTTGAAATAACACCTGTTATGAGTTGACGCTATACAAATAAAAAAAAAAATTGATTGATAAACGTTTTCCAATGGAGTTAATCTGTGTCTTCTTGGCAGATACGTGAAGACTTACCTGCTGCCAGATATGTCACGACAGAGCAAGAGGAAGACGAGCGTCAAGGCCAACAGCATCAGCCCTGTTTTCAATGAGAATCTGAGGGTCAGTGGCTGGAAAAACTCACCAAGCACAAACTTACAGTGGTTACTCTGTAAACTCAGATCACTCATTTGAGAACGTATATCATTTACGTCGATGTTTCCCCCCTGTGTGTATGTGTAGTACGTGATCAGCCACTCGCAGCTGGAGACGAGAACCCTGCAGGTCTCCGTGTGGCACCACGACCGCTTCGGGCAGAACAGCTTCCTGGGAGAGGTGGAGCTGACCTTTGACTCCTGGGAGTTTGACACCCAAATAGAGGAGTGGTACGCTCTCCAGCCCAAGGTACGCGGGATGCGGGGATGAGCGCTGTTGTCACATTTGTGATAATGTTGTAAATGTGTTTGAGCAGATTGTGAATGATGTTTGTGTAGGTGGAGAGCAGCGTGGACTCCACAATGCCGTACAAAGGAGAACTGACAGTCGTGTTAAAGTACATTCCTGGAGAGAAGAACCTCATGCCTCTAGATGAAGTACCAGGTACCTTTACAACCTTTATAACCTTTGTGATGTAAATCATGTTGTTGCTCCTCCTTTTCAAACAAAGGTAAAACTAACAGCTTGAATAATTGTCTTATTAGCAAAACATCACATTTAATGTATATGTCCCCTGTAGGTCTTCCCTTAAAGGCTTTATATGTGATTTTTTTGATCCAGCAGATGTCGCCCTTGAGCGTCAGCATGAAACCAAAACAACTCGCGCTGCATTGTTGTGTTAGCATGCTAATGCTAGCGATCTTTATTATGCTGGTATCTTCACACTGCATGTAAATTTACCTGAAATGAGCGTGATCTAGAAACACAGTTAAGCAGTGAGTACAGTATGTTATTCTTCTTTTCTCTAGTCCCTCAATTAAACAACTTTTATACACGAGGGGAGGAGTCAGCCGGCCGTCCTGGCGATGTAAACAAAGTGAAGATAGGACTCTGAAAACTCTGAAAACATCACAGACAGTGGGACTCGGGTGTTACACCCATTGTAGACAGTCATGACTCACAGAGTTATTTTCAGAGGATATACTTGATTTATATTAGTTGTGAAAAATCACATTTAAAGACTTTAAAGGCTCTAGTTCAAATGTTGATTTACAGCTTAATGTAATAAATGTCAATAAAACATTGTACAATAGATGATTAATAGATTCTTTGTTGATCCCGAGGGAAATTCAAATGACTTTATTGCCAAGTTATATGTCATTGTTGACAATGGATTTTTCCATGCTGGATTGGAAGAATGGTTTGAACACTTATTTCTATTAAAAGATAATTTTGCTCTGCAACACTCATGTTAACAGCTTCTCTGAATTCAATACTTCAGATTTAATAACTCTAAGACCCTTAAGAGATGACTCATTATGAAACACTTTGGCCCTGAAGGCTTGGATAATAGATTTATTGCTGAATTATTTAGGAGTTACACAATATTTAACTTGCCCACATTTTCAACTGGTTTCCATTAATTTCACATTACTAAAGATTATTCTATAATCATTTTTAAAAAAAAACATTACTTTGGATTTATAAAGTAATTAGGGGAATGGAAAGTGTAAAGGGAAGTGTACTTGTACTGAGTGTGTGTTTAGTTGTGTAAATACAAGACATGTTTGTTTGTTTGTTTGTTTGTGTCACAGTGAAGAAAGGGTTCCTGAAAAGCAAGAAGGCAGCCAGCTTCACTCTGCCTGAAGGGGGCATGGTCGAGCTGCTCGTCAAAGGAGCAAAGAATCTCACTGCCGTCAAGTCTGGAGGCACTTCAGATCCTTTTGTGAAAGGGTGAGACGACTGGGGCTGGTTGAAAAACCTTCACATGGGGGGGGGGCTCAAATAGAGTTAAGAGTGTGCATGTGAAAAGTAAAGCCACAATCCTCCACAACAAATAAACTGCATATTCAAGTAATTAAGTGTGATACACCAATGCAAAAACACAAATATATAAACATGATGTAGAAATATACACAAACATGTTACCTGTATTAGCTTTGAACCAAGGGCATGACTTTTTAAACACCATTTAGACATCAGAAAGAAACATGCTAAAAAACTACTTCTTGTTTTGTGTCTCGTTGAAGTGGTTCTTTTTGTCTTTGTGATGGTTTTCCCTTCACTTAGCAGTAGTTTGTTTTTTTGTCTCCTTCCCTTTTGTTCTGCTTCTCTGTGGTACTTTTTGTGTGTCGTCGTCATGACTCTGCAGTCGTGTTGTGTTTGTGGTGGTTTTTATTTCTCTCTGTAGTATTTTGAAATTCTCTTTCTGGTCTTTTTTTTTGTTTTATCTCTGAAGTCATTTTTGTGTGTCTTCTGTGTCTCTTTGTGATCATATTGTGTGTCTCTGTTTTATTGTTTTTGTCTGCATGTGCCAATTGTGACTCCTTCTGCTGTGGATATGTGTCTGTTTTTGATCATTTAAAAAATCTCTCTCTGTTGTATTCCTGTGTGAGGTCGTTTTAGTTATGTGTGAACCTTTTGTTATCTTGTATGTGTGTGGATCATCATGTGTCTTTTTAATTACTCTTCATGTCTTGATTTTAATTGTATGTCTGTGCGTGCTCTTTTTTATTTTGTGTCTTTATGCTCATCTTATTGACATTCAAATAAGAAATGTTATCAGCTCCTTTCTTTTTTTGTGTCCATCATTTCTCTCTCTTTACTTTTTTTTTTATAATTCTTTATTTAGAGGATGGTTGAGAACAATTTACAGACAATTAGCCCTGCAGTTACAGAAGGTATAAAGGGTCCACAGTGAAAGTCTGCAGCAAACATCTAGATAATCTTGAAACCCCTTTTCCTCCTTAACATCCTCAATTTCTTTTTTTTTTTTACAATATGTATCTTATTACGCTATAACTATATACAGTCTGTAAAGAGGGATGTGTTACATTTATTTTCTTTAATATGTAGGGCGACAGTTCAACGTGTTTTCAAAGCGGAGGGCCCAAGAGACAGAAAACTATCAGCTCCTTTCTACAGAATCTTTACAACATTTCATTCACATTACTCCCAAGTCATGAACAGGGCTTCCTTTGTTACACATGATAAGAATGAATTAAACAGATAAGTGTTGTATAAGTGTTGTGTTTTTTTCTTTCCCTCCAGATACCTCCTTCCTGACAACAACAAGTCCACTAAGCACAAGACAGCGGTGGAGCGACGCACTGTGAACCCCGTGTGGAACCACACCTTCACCTACTGCGGCCTGCAGCCAGGAGACCTCAACAACGTGTGCCTGGAGCTCACCGTGTGGGACAAAGAAGCCCTGGCCAGCAATGTCTTCCTGGGGGGAGTGAGGCTAGGAGCTGGGTCAGGTGTGTGTGTGTCTGTGTCTGTGTGTGTGTGTGTGTGTGTGTGTGTGTGTGTGTGTGTGTGTGTCTCTGTGTGTGAGAGACAAGAATAGTAGTTTATTAGCCTTTTTTTTTAGTATGGGAGATATTTGCTCATTCTTTTTTCCTCTTATAAGGTAATAACAGTCATGCTCAGAATTTTAAATACGGCGGTTAAAACCTCTGAAAGGTCTCCGTGGGCTGAAGAGGCTTAGTGAAAATTGAAGGAAGCAGATGCTGTATACGTACTGAAATGTTTGGAGAATAAAAATAAGGCCTTTAAGGCTTTCTATGTGATTTTTCACACTTAATTATAATATAAATCAAGTATATCCTCTGAAAATAACTCAGTGAGTCATGACTGTCTGCAATGGGTGTAACACCCGAGTCCCACTATCTGTGATGTTTTCAGAGTTTTCAGAGTCCTATCTTCACTTTGTTTACATCGCCCGGACGGCCGGCTGACTCCTCCCCTCGTGTATAAAAGTTGTTTAATTGAGGGACTAGAGAAAAGAAGAATAACATACTGTACTCACTGCTTAACTGTGTTTCTAGATCACGCTCATTTCAGGTAAATTTACATGCAGTGTGAAGATACCAGCATCATAAAGATCGCTAGCATTAGCATGCTAACACAACAATGCAGCGTGAGTTGTTTTGGTTTCATGCTGGTGCTCAAGGGCGACATCTGCTGGATCAAAAATCACATATAAAGCCTTTTAGTTAAAAGAAAATGACTTTGTAGTATCTTTGAATTAGATACAAACCCAACAAAAGTCTTGAATTGTAAGTGTCTCTTATCTTGAAGCATCTTTAGTTGAAGCACTGAAGGCTGTTTTCTTCCTCTTGGCTATTGAGGTTGGCAGATTGAAAAATATTCAAAGGGAAAACAGATTGTGTGCATTGTGATTTGGGGAGCAGAGGAAAGGGAGGCCTTTTTTCTTTTGTATACACACACACACACACACACACACACACAGAGATGATTTAAGGAAGAGGCAGACAAAACCATGAACTATACCTTCATACAAAGGATCATCATTCAGACAGGGTGTTGTTGTTGTTGTTGTTATTTTATTACTTCAACAGAATAGTTTGACATTTGTATGTCATTATCCATCATAAAGATAAATGACTAACCAGACCTTTAGATGATTGGTCAGTTTGTTCTGGCTGTGAAGGTCTGAACATTTAAAAAATGATTCAAACTTTTTTACTTTCATTCCTTCCTTTTTTTGAGAACGATTTCAGCATGTGTCAACAGATGGATCGGGCTTAAAGGCTTTATATGTGATTTTTGATCCAGCAGATGTCGCCCTTGAGCACCAGCATGAAACCAAAACAACTCGCGCTGCATTGTTGTGTTAGCATGCTAATGCTAGCGATCTTTATTATGCTGGTATCTTCACACTGCATGTAAATTTACCTGAAATGAGCGTGATCTAGAAACACAGTTAAGCAGTGAGTACAGTATGTTATTCTTCTTTTCTCTAGTCCCTCAATTAAACAACTTTTATACACGAGGGGAGGAGTCAGCCGGCCGTCCCAACGATGTAAACAAACTGAAGATAGGACTCTGAAAACTCTGAAAACATCACAGACAGTGGGACTCGGGTGTTACACCCATTGTAGACAGTCATGACTCACAGAGTTATTTTCAGAGGAGATACTGATTTCTACATTGAAGTGTGAAAAATCTCATATAAAGACTTTAAATTGTGTTTTGTAAAATAGAATTGTAGTGGTGGGCTCTGTGGAGTTTATTCAAAACACAATGTTAAAAATTCTGAATTCCTTCCTCTATAGTCATTACCTGCAGATATCACTCCACAGTACATTCAATACTGGAGTGCCGAGAGACTGTTTATGTCCTCAGGCCTCTCTCGTAATCCCAACAAAGAAAAGCTAATTTGAATGTTTGTCCCTTCTCCCCTCAAGGCAAAAGTTACGGGAACGAGGTGGACTGGATGGACTCATTCGGGGAGGAGCAGCGTCTGTGGCAACGCATGATGGAAAACCCACAAGCCCCTCAGGAGTGTACTCTGATGCTGCGATCGAGCATGGGCAAGTGCCACACATGAGTCCCGCCTGAACGCACAGACCAGAGGAGTCTGAAGAGAGTAACAGAGAGGGGAGAAGAAAGAAAGAGTGAGGTGAAGGTGTGAGTGTAAGAGCTGGAAAAAGTGGAATGGTCAAAAAAAAAAAAAACACAACATCGACTCAAATACTCATAAAGGAACAACGACCGTCCTCTTATCTCTGCGTCTCTCTCCCGTGTTTAGATCCCTCTTCTTCTAGTCTCAAACAGCCAGTCATGCCTTACACTCTCATCCACATGTGCCCCCCCCCTTTGCCCTTTCAAAATATCCAATTTTGATCAAGCATTGCTGTTTACTGCTGTATGTGAAGATGATGTTGTGTATTACCCACTGAATAAGCACACAGTGTGTGAGTCCTGATGTTCCATCCTCGTCCCCTGTGATTCATGCATCAGAGTCGTGTCTACATGTGGAGCTGCTGTCAGACATCGGATCAGAGACTCTGACTGAAACGCGCCCTTTATATCAACCATGCTGCTTCCTGGTTAAAGCACATGACGCTGAGATCCATCCCCCATTTAAACAGCCGAGGTGGAGAGTGACTGGTTCTTGAACTCTGAATGAACTCAATTTTGACCAAGTGTTGGGTACTAAAGTGAATTTATAATCATAGCACTTTTTGGAGACTTGAATTAGTAATATCCCATTTTCATCCCATTTTCTAGCAATGGCTAGTTAAATTCTAATCTCAGAACCTCATGACTTTTCTAGCCTCTGGCAGCGACAGCCAGCTCTTCAAGGCGGTCATACAATCAACATTTATATGATGGATTGACATGATATTTGGTAAACAAATTTATATATTTCCCCCAAGAGTAAATGAAAGAAATGTAGCTCGTGATTTTACGGATGTTCCTTTTGCGCTTTGATCAGATCACGATTTGAATGTGTTCAATGCTTTGGTGAAGAACAAAAAGTCTAAGGATATTCCCTAGCTTGTGTTAAAAATGCTAAAAGTGAATTTGTTACCAGGTTTATCTAAGCTGGTGAACCTGCAAAATATCAGTTCCTTATGAGTATGTTAGCATGCTGATGTAAGCGATTAGAACTAAATCTTATTTTGGCCGTAACAAAAATTCAAATCTAAAAAATAAATGCTTCTGAAGAAAATTGAAAGTAATTTTCGAGCATTGCATTGGGTTCATTGACCCTCCTGAAGGCCATAGTTCTGCTAATTTTAAATACCCGTTGCATGTAATGGTCGTCTACATTTCCTATCATTAGTTGGACCATGCTAATTTATTTGGAAGAAAAAATGAGTTAGGAATATCTGAACGTTTGCAACTTAATTTTTTCTTTATTTCCGTTGTGTACTGTGCAACACCCTCCCTTGATGAACCATCCTATGTTGTAATGGTTCAACTTAAAAGTTGATGGAAACATTGGGCCTGTCACTGGTTTGTGATCGAGGCTCCAATCATCTTAAAGAGAGCAGTTCAAGAACCAGAGCCGATGTGGTGGATGGACACTAATATAAGCCGTAAGCATGGCTGCAGATTCATGTTGTTACTTTATTAATGAAAAGAAAATTTTTCTTTTTTTTCTGTTTATTGACTAATCATTGAAATCATCTAAGTGTAAGTACTAGACAGATGTACTTGCAGTAGAAAAAAAAAGTCTTGACCGTGTACACATTTAGAGTAGCTTTTAAATGTACTTTAACATAGCACTGTATCAGTGTAATAATAGAAACTGCATGGTTTTAATGAAATAATGTTAGAAGAACAAAAAGGTTGTATTAAGCACTGATAATGACATCACTTAAACGCAAGAGGAGGAGGTGTGAACCTTGAGACAGCGGTTATGTGTTAGAGTGAGTCAGCACTGAGCGTTTCATCTCAGGGCGAGCGTAATAATGAGTCAGTGACAGTAACCTTGTCCCTGTCGCTCCGAGCTCTGCGATCCACCACCCTGCGATGATTCAGAAACAATACTGAAGTTAATACCCTGTACAATTGGGTTTTTTTTGTTTTTCATGAAATGCCACTTTTGTCTGCTTGTCTTTGGCCTCCCTTACGCTCTGAAACTTCAACAGCTTCAAGAGTTTCTCGTCGCACAATTGGATAAAAAAAATATACACAGTGTCGACTGTCCAACATCCTTTAGATGAGAGGCTCGTGCAATACCTGATTACCTGAAGAAACTCTTGATGTACAGCATGTACTATCTCTGTAGTGTCTGGTTTCAAAAGCATCGATCACTATGTATTCAAGTCTTTTCATCCCAAATGTGTTACAGGAATATTTTCAAATAAATACATCTTTCCATAGACTGACTGATTTTTTGGTATTTTCTATTTTAATAAATGTTTGGTTGTCCTAATAATATAAAACAAAAAAACGTCATTACCTTATTTTTATGCAAAGAAAGAAATATATTTTTGATTTCATTGTGTAGGGCAGGCCTATTCATCTGGATCACTTCTATTTACAATAAAAGAATAAATAACTAATAAACAGGGGGGCGAAATTGTGAACGACTGTCATTGTTGCCACACTAAAGTTTTTTAAAAACAGCACAGCGCTCCTGTTTAATAGAACATCTTTGGTCCTGTGCTCACAGCCTATCACAAACTTGTGTTGTTGATGGAAAAAAACGTTTTCACGCACTGTAGTGATGTGGTGGGCTCGCTTGTCTGGCCCCCGGCTCCTTAGCTTTCTGAAAATGTGAACCACTAAACAATAAAGTTGAATTGTCCTGGTGTAGGGGATTCAAAAAATACAAAACAGACATCCAATGAAAAGGCAGATATAGAAAGCCAAGAAACATAACAAATCTGTATTTAATAGAAATTAAATCAATTTGAAACCCTTTTCATTTTTTCAGGAACTCATGATCTTTGAAGTGATCTTCTGTATATTCAATCAGGATACTCTCCAGGCTTAGATATTATTTTTTGTATTTGGATTCTTACTAAAGACGAGCAAAGGATTTTTTTCCTTTTCCAAAAGAAATGCTATTTAGATTAGATCACCACTTTACACTTGGACTCCCTGTGTTAGGTGCTGAAATTTGCTTTTTATGGCATAAACAAGGATTTCAACACTTTTCTTCAAGCCGCCAAAATTAGCCCCATTTTGTTTCCTGTAAAACTTGAGATATGCTATGAGAATCTTACGAGCTGATGTATTTATTTGTAATGAAACTTGATTCTGAAATATGCTTTTGACAATTCTACAATTCACTTAGCAGACGCTTTTCTCCAAAGCGACGTACATCAGAGAGTAAGAACAACACAAGCAAGGATCTAGAAAAAGGGAACAATGTGAGTAAGAGCAAACGATCAGCTTTGAGTCTGATTGGACACACAGGTGCTGACAGGAAGTGACCAGAGGCAAAGCACAACATTGAGGGCAGTTCTTGAGAGCTCTAATCAGTATAGAAACCATCTTATAAGTCGTCGTTATCAAACAAAACCATCGTCATTACCATCATCATCATCAATAATATGGAGACCATCATCATTAAGTTAGTAGGTATTCATGAAAGAGCTGGGTCTTTAGCTTTTTCTTAAAGGTACAGAGTGACTGCAGATCACATGGAGTTTGGAAGTTCATTCCACCACCGGGGGGCGACAGAGGAGAAGAGTCTAATTTGTACCAAACAATGACAGTTTTCTTAATGAAAGGCTTTTTTTTAAACACACAACAGACCACATCTCCATGATAGACATTTAATCAGTGTTTTGTGAATTCAGGCAGCGTGTTAACAGAAGCAGCATCACTGTCATGTCACGTATATAAAACATTCTTCCACAGAGTCAGAATACATCATTATTTGAGATGTGAGACATAAATATAAGACAGGTGAAGAGTTTGGAGTTCATACAGTAAAAAAAAAAGACTCTTGTAGAAAATAGTAATCTGCTTTGAAAATATTAATAATAAAAAACATACAGACAGACAAGACACAGGAATCAATATGATTGTAAACTGCTGTATGACCCATTTCATTAAGTTATCTCTGATAAATCTGCTCGCTTCAGACCAGTGCAAGACTGACATCTTGACAGCACACACACATGCACACACAGACGCACACACACACCTTCTGGACACAGGACTGCATGAGTTCAGGTAGGAGTGTGTGTCGTGGGTATAAAAAAAAAGGATGGTCTGAGCAGAAATGTGGCTGAGAGTCTGTGTAAAGGTTTTTATGATTGACAGGTCTGCCCCGCCTCCTGCTGAAGCAACATCTCGTCCTTGCGGAGTGGGAGGGTGTCGATGGTGGTTAATAATTCAGCCGCTGTGATCGGGAACGGGTAGCGTTGCTTATCCATGCCCTGTTTGTCGACCAGAACCATTTGGAAAGAGAAAGAGAGAGAGAGAGAGAGGAGAAAGAGAGAGAGAGAGAAAGAGAGAGAAGAAGAGAGAGAGAGAGAGAGAGAGAAAGAAAGAGAGGGAGAGAGAGAGAGAGAGAGAGAGACAGAGAGAGAGAGAGAGAAAGAGAGAGAGAGAGAGAGAAAGAGAGGGAGAGAGAAAGAGAGAGAGAGAGAGAAAGAGAAAGAGAGAGAGAGAGAGAGGGAGAAAGAGAGAAGAGAGAGAGAGAGAGAGAGGAAAGAGAGAGAGAGAGAGAGAGAGAAAGAGAGAGAAGAGAGAGAGAGAGAGAAAGAGAGAGAGAGAGAGAGAAGAGAGAGAGAGAGAGAGAGAGAGAGAGAGAGAGAGAGAGAGAGAGAGAGAGAGAGAGAGAGAGAGAGAGAGTAACAGAGCAGTGTTTATATAAATAAAATGGTGAAACTGATTCACAACAAAGTTTGTAACTTTTTGCGTCAGCGCTGCAATTAGAAAATTAAATTCATGACACATTGAAGCTCCCCTCCTTTTGAATGTTAGTCTACCAGCATGAAAGTTCTTCTCCACTGTATGTCCAGGAGACCATCTGGGTTACGTAAACACCTGGCTGTGACTCACTGATGTACGGCTTCCAGCACTGTTTGGTGCTTTTTAACGAAAGATTTGTGACTCATGCAAAGAAAAATGAACCTCATGTGCACACAGGAGGAAAACAAGGATCCACAATGTGCTCAGCATACCGAACATTACCAATAAAAAATAAAGTATTTTTCAAAATAAAGCCTAAACTTGTATTTTTATAAACCACTATAAAGTAAACATGCAATTTCAGGATGTTGTAGTTATTAATCTTCTTTCATACTCTAACCACGCAGAGGCAAATTACTCTGCATTTATTCTTGGAACCGATTGGCCTTCGTCTGACATTATGCCTTTAAGAGCAACATCCAACTCTTCAGGGCTTCAGGTGTAATAATAATAATAATGATAAAGTTTATTTATAAAGCACTTATCAAAACCAACGTCACAAAGTGCTTTACAGAAAAAAGAAAAATCCCAAGAGTCAATTACACAACGATAAAATCCTATTAAAAAAACAGTGCAGCAATCATCCAATGAACAGAGAGAAGAGAAACAACCGAGACAAAGATCGGCTAAAGTTAACAGTAAAACAAATAAAACATCATGAAACAAGGATTATAAGAAGGCTTTACGATAAAAATGTGTTTTTAAAAGTGATTTAAAAGAAGATACTGATGTAGCTCGTCTGAGAGCCTGTAGTTTAGTGTAGTAGGACTTCTGGACCAAAAGCTCCTTTTTATAGGGCGCTGGTTTAGCTCAGCCGGTAGAGCTTGGAGCCCCACATACACTGAGCAAAGTCATCAACGTACTGACTCCTGACAGCTGTCCTATCTAATAAACGCAGAAGGAAACCCTTTCTTTTCAACTCGTTGCCACAGATTACAGTCCGACTCGCAATTTGACTATAGCGAGAATAAATTCTGTCTGAACAAACATCGTCTATAAAAGTGCACCTGCATGAAGAGATTGTTTTAAAGACGTCTTTTTGCACGGCTCTCCCTCACAGACTGTTTCCTGCGAAAAGCCAACGCGGTGTCTGTACACAGGGATCATTTTGTCTTGTTTTCATGCTCATTATCTTACAGAAAAAAAGTATGTATCTTCAGTGTGACATCTTCAGATTTCTTTGTTCAACCAAACAACAACCCTCACTGAAAGATTGTGATTACAAAAACCATAAAACAGGTGAAGGAAATAAAGAAGTAGAGATTTTGCTGCGCTTTAAAGTAGATAAGGCTCAAACGAGTGACCACTTACCAAAATAAGAGCACATTTTGGATTGTTTTAATAGTTTCTTATTCAACTTAATCGATTTAAATCTTGCTCTTAAACGTGCTCTTAGTCTTCTTTAAATCCTTGACTGCACTTTCAAGCAGAGCTATTGCACTTTATATTTATTATATTCATTTATTTATTTATACCATTTGAGTGAAACTTCTTAACAAACAGTGAGTTTTATATTTCATATTTCTTGGTTGTATTTCATCAGGTTGTGTTTTTGTGTCCACTGCTGCAAATCAAATTTCCCTTCCAGGGACAATAAAGATCTGAACTGAACTTAGCTTTGAATAGCACAAACAACCCCTCCATGACAGATTGCAGGACTGCTCACTCGGGTTGTGTCTGTTAACGTGATCTCACCTGTCAGCTCCTCACTGAGTCACTTTGAAAGGTCGAACAGTTTAAAGACACGTTCTTCTGACTTCATGGTTTCTGACGAGCCGGGAAAAGCAGCCAGACCAAGAATAGCCTTTATCAGAGCTGGTGTCAGTATCATTTATTCATCACCTTGACATTTTCTGTTCATGTGGACACCGTCTACACTTTCCTATTTTTATTTTTTTGTCACAGTGCTTTGTCCCACTTGGGCGGCAAAGCAAGAAAAGAAAACCTGACAAAAACACACTTCAGCGAGTGTTTTTGTGAGCAGCAGAGGAGACACAAATCACTGCAGTAACATTTTAAAAACTCTCCTTTGGAGCTGCGTCTCACCTGTAGGTTGGTCATCTGGAAGCGGTAATTATGATTGGCAGCTGTTGGCGCCGAGATAATGAGGAGCCGTCGCTTCTCGTAGAACTGATCCAGCAGTGCAGCAGCTGTACGCACTCCCACGTTAATGTTCATGGCTGTGATGGCATCGAACGCACAATTAAGTGATTATGACAGGATGCAACACACAGTACAAGAGGACAAAATTCAATACAGCATCATTTCACACTGAGATTTCCATCATTATGGTGCATGAATGCAAATGTGAAGATACAGACGTGGAGACATAAATTGTCAGGTTTGTGTGTGTATGTACAGAAATATATATTTGTATTTGTTGAGTGTCTTGAGCCAGATGCAATGGAATTTGGCTCAGTTGGTAGAATCGTCGCCTCTCAACCAAGAAGATTGAGGGTTCAATCCCCAGCTGAGCAACATGTCCAATGTGTTCTTGGACATTTAACACTGAATTGCTCCGTTGCTTCGATGGCAGTGTATGAATGGGATTAGTTACTTCTGATGGATGATACTACATAGCGATCACTACCATCAGTGTGTGTGGGTGGGTGTGACATGCGGTGTAAAAGCGCTTTGAGTAGTCAGAAGACAAGAAAAGTGCTATATAAGCTCAAAATAAAGCTACAAAACTATATTGTCCATTTACCATTTGTAGAGTCTGAAGACAATAAAGGAATTTTGATTTGAATATTTATGAATTCTAAACAGAAAAGTACATTTTTTTTAATTAACAAGAGTATGGAAAATTTTCTCCAAACTATTGTGTTTGGGTCTGGCCCCAAGTTGACTTTTTCATTTTTTGGGTGAAATCCCTGCAAATTAAAAAAAATAATTAATTAACCTTTATTATATATATATATATACATAACATGTAAATATATACATTTTCTTTGTAATATAGCAATAAGTAAGGTCTTTTACCCGCTTTTTGTAAAGTGTCTCGAGATAACATTTGTTATGAGTTGACGCTATACAAATAAAAATTGATTGATTGATTGATATTTAACCAGGTAATTAACCCATTGAGATAAAGACATCTTTCAACAGGGTGACCTAGCCAGGAGGGCAGCAGCACACTAAATCCTGTAACATTAAAGACATGGGGGCGCCGGTGGTGCAGTGGTTGGTGTTCGCGCCCCATGTACGATGGCTATGGTCCTCCGTGCGACGGCCTTATTTCAGTTCAGACCTGTGGCTCCTTTCCCACATATCATTCCCACCTCTCTCTCTCTCCCTTATTCTCAGCTCTATCCACTGTGCTATCTCTCCAATAAAGGCACAAAAAAACTACAGTTATAGTACAGGGGAAGTTCCTTCTATAAGAGAAAGGCGAGCAGATACAAGTCAATGTTCATCGTAAAAACTGATTATGGATTTAAACTACAAATAAATAAATAATAACTCTTTCCACAAGTGGAAGTGTACATACCTTGTATTATTCTATTATTGTATTTTTTCTCCCTTTATTTAACTGATGTACATGTGTTTGATTTTTAACTTCTTGTTATTTTTGATAATTATATTCATGTTTCTTGAGCTGTCCCCCATGGGGGATCAATAAAGTTTATCTTTAAATATATATTTTTGAAAGCATGTTTGTGTTTTATCTGCGTGCAGTACGTACGTGCACAGTTGGTATCCAAGCCGGACCAGGTGAGTCCATACTGACACACTCTGGCAGCGCTGCCCTGAAGCTCGTAGCCGCCTGTGCAGGTGAACTCACACGAGGCCCCGTAGTTGTCATTGTCGCTGTCACACTTCATATAGCCGTTGTCGGGGGCAAACAGTGGGCTGCAGCGGCGGACTACACAGAGAGAGAGAGGCACATTAGATACAAGTCACCGGGAAACATGACACAGGAGCAGGATTAAATTAGCTGTAAAATGAGTGTACACAACTACAAATTGTTTAAAATTTGAATTTGAATTTGAAATTTGAATGTTCACTTCATTTGTCTGTCTACTCGCCGTTATATTGAATAGTTTCTGCTTATAACATGTCTACACTCCTTCACTTTAACTTATGTCAATACTGTTCATTTACAACTCTGTTTTTACACATTTACATTTGATCGTTCACATTTATGACTAGTAATGTTCAGTTAAATCCTGGTTGTATATATTCCCATTCTTAGTTTTGATAGTTTTAGTGCTTATTTACTTTGTATTTAATATTATATTGTGTTTAAATTTGCTAATATTGTGTTTTTTGCTCATATTGTGTGTTGGATAATTTGCTGCTGTAACGCCACAATTTCCTAGTTTGGGATCAATAAAGTAATTCTATTCTATTTTAAATTGTGGGATCATTTTGCTACCTAAATCGGGTAAAGCGAGTCCTGATGTTAATTAGAAACATACACAGCATATTACAGAACAGAAAAGCTCCATTTAAAACCCGTGAATGTGTATTTCTGTACTTATAGAAAACAAATATATTTTGCATGTTCAGTTTACCTTACAGCACTCCAAAAAGACAAGCACATTAACAAAGGACAAAGTGTCTATTTTTCACATTATACAAAAGTACACAGCAATCTGCATGAGACTCTTTGGGAATAACGGATAAAATGTAACTAAACTAAAAATCCAGCTTCACACAGAAAATCAAAAGGCTCACATTTTTTTTTAACCGCTCTTTCAAAGCTCACCTCGCACTCTGACAGTGAAGCGACAGGATCCTTTGTTCCCCGCTCGGTCAAACACAGTGTAGGACATCTTATGGAGTCCCTCAGGGAAGTTTGATTTTGAAGGTTTTCCTTTCAGGATAACACTGCAAAGAGACATGCTCTGTTTTAATCTTTTTTCTCTGTGATCTCGTTGTTCAGAGGAAGGATAACCAATCGGGACAAAGACAAGCACTGAAAGCAGAATGAAAGAAAAGCGGCTCAGAGCGGTGAAGATGAGACTGACTCTGTGAGGATGCCATCTGCACTGTCTACACCCTCCGGTGTGTCCCAGGTCACCCTCGCTGTCAGTTTTCCTGGCTCGGCCCACTTATCCTTCAGATTGGGACACTTGATCTTTGGAGGCTCCATATCTACAGAGACATAGACAGAAAAGTTCAACAGAACAAAAGAGAAGGTACATTTCTAAATCCTCAAGGTTAGAATCTCTATAAATTCAAAGGCTTTATATGTGATTTTTCACACTTAAATGTAGAAATCAAGTATCTCCTCTGAAAATAACTCTGTGAGTCATGACTGTCTACAATGGGTGTAACACCCGAGTCCCACTGTCTGTGATGTTTTCAGAGTTTTCAGAGTCCTATCTTCACTTTGTTTACATCGCCGGGACGGTTGGCTGACTCCTCCTCCTCCTCCTCCCCTAGCATTAGCATGCTAACACAACAATGCAGCGCAAGTTGTTTTGGTTTCATGCTGGTGCTCAAGGGCGACATCTGCTGGATCTAAAAATCGCATATAAAGCCTTTAAGGTGAATCCATCTTCTGAGGAAACACTTGGCTGATAATGTCCTTGCCGACGTAGAAGTTTCAATGTCTTTTAAGCAGCAGCGTGTTCTCTCCCCAAACACAACTTTTACAATCCTCCACTCTCACCAAGGTCACTATTCATGTGTATTTATTCATATATGGGGGAAACCTTTTAGATCCCATTCTTATTCAACGAAGTCATTATCCACACTCAAGCTGCAAAAATGTGAAAAACATTTATCATTGTATGCTAATAAGTGACACATTATGTGTAGTTGTACATACACCTAGAGATCTGCAACCTTGGACAATGAGGAGTGTTCTTTGTTATATCTCGGGCTAACAATATGAAGGTTGTTATCTGTCTTTAGGTTTTTATGAAGCAGCTCAGTTGTGTCTGCAAACTCACAGCTTCCACTGTAGATAAGAGTGTGAATAAAATAACAACACAAACAGTCATACCGACACAGGTGGGGACTGCAGCACTCCACGTCTTGGTGTGCTGGCAGGTCGCCGTCTTCTGGCCCTTCATGCTGAATCCAGGAGAGCAGAAAAACTCGCAGCGAGAGTTGAAGTAGGAACCATCCGAACACTTGTAGCCGCCGTTAATAGGCATGTCCGGCTTGGCACAGCGAACCTCTGTGAGAGAAAGAGCTCAGTGAAAGGATGCTCTGTTGATTTGATCTGTTTACTTTGGCTCAGATGGAACAATATAAACGTTTAGGCTGATGCATCCATTGAATAATAAAGCATCATTTTCTAGCTGTTAAGCTGTTAGCTGAAAAGTGGACCTGCTTTTTTCCTGGGTCAAGTATAGACTTGCACCAAAAAAAAAAACAATCAGGAATTCACACAAAAACACACAGCTTGAGAGACTGTTGCATAAGTGTTTTTTTTAAAACCATGAGACTTAGTGTGAATGTGTTCAGGTTACCTCTGCAGGCGTAGTTTGATGACCAGTGTTTGGTGGCCATACACACCACCTCTGAACTCTGAGACTCGTATCCCTGCTTGCAGCGGATTTTACAGCGAGTCCCCATCACGTTCCTGTAGTGCTCCCCTCTCGGTGTGCGACAACTCACATCACCATGTTTCAGCTTGATGGGGGCACACCATGGTGTCCCTATACAGATGGAGGAAAGACAGTACTGTACTCTGACTCTTTTCTTTACTGCATCAAGGGAATTACATTATTTTTCAAAGTACAGGAGCAGTAGAGTCGTAATGTCAGCATTCAATGATAAGCAGCACTTACCTGAGGACTATAAAGCCTAAAAAAGAGTTCCTTTGGAAGTTTTGAAATGAGAAAACCCACCCATCATCTGAGTTCAGACAGATACGGTGGGTTTATTATAATTACCTTATCTGTCACCTCCCATTATCAGACAGTGGCTCATGAGATAAACATGAAAGTCTCACTTGAGTTAAAGGCTTTATATGTGATTTTTCACACTGTGATGCTTTCAGAGTTTTCCGAGTCCTATCTTCACTTTGTTTACATCGCCCGGACGGCCGGCTGACTCCTCCCCTCGTGTATAAAAGTTGTTTAATTGAGGGACTAGAGAAAAGAAGAATAACATACTGTACTCACTGCTTAACTGTGTTTCTAGATCACGCTCATTTCAGGTAAATTTACATGCAGTGTGAAGATACCAGCATAATAAAGATCGCTAGCATTAGCATGCTAACACAACAATGCAGCGCGAGTTGTTTTGGTTTCATGCTGGTGCTCAAGGGCGACATCTGCTGGATCAAAAAATCACATATAAAGCCTTTAAAGAGAGCTAATGATATGTGGAGTGCACTGTAATGTCAGTGTAATTTTGTGTGTGTCTGTGTGTGTCTGTGTGTGTGTGTCATAGAAGGGAAAAAAATTCTACACAATTTGTGTCAAGGGTGCTGCTCTTTTTTATCACTTACACTACGATGTCACCTGTTTGTCCTATCGCTGTCTCCTTTTTATGTTCAAAACGATCATTAGCGTGGCTAAAAGTGTGTTGGTGTTTATCTAAAACAATAAAGTAAAAATGAAAGAAATTCTGTGGTAAGATGACTGATACCATTTTGTGTTTTTGCAGTAATGAAGCTACAACAAGCAAATTGTTAACTTAGCCTAACTAAGACTGCAAAAGGGTAAAAACAGCTAGCATAGCTCTGACAAAAATACACCTACTAGCACCACAGTGCTCAAGCGTATTCAGAAGTCAAAGCTCTTTTTAGCCAAGTAATACAAAATCCTAGCACAAAATATTCCAGGTTAATGTGTTACTTATTGGGGTTAAGCGATAGCTATTTCTTTTCCTTCTGAATTTTACTAAATGGATTCAACATGTAAATACTTGAGCTTGATGAGTTAAAGAGGAGGTTGTGGAAAATTATAATTTGCCTAGGATGTGTGTGTGTTGATGATGATTAGCTGTTTCCCGTTGCGACATTACTGCCTGTTTGTCCAGCGCTCTGAGCCGGAGGTTTGACGCCTTGTTTTCAATCCTTATGCTAAGCTAAAGTTTAGCATAAAGGCCTGTAGCTCCTATAAGCCTCTAGCTATGAGACTGAATTTTTCATGTCAAGAAATCAAATAAAAAATGACTTCCTAACTGTAACAACTGCAAACACTTTTAGATTTTTTCATCCCCCAAAAATGATATACCTCTGTTCATCTCTGCAATGCTTATATTGTTTGATATATTGTTTGTTTGAAGCCAAGTATCAGGGACAACAAGGATTCCATTCAAAATCAAAAATCTGCATTTCATTTGCTGCAGGCTCAGGAGAAACTCTCAGCATGTGGATCAACACACAGATGAGAATACACACCAGAATGGGCTAATTTCCAATTGGAACAAAAAAGAGTATTCATTACACAGCAAGCTTCCTGTACTCTCTCTCTCTCTCTCTCTCTCTCTCTCTCTCTCTCGCTCATGTGTGCATGTGTGTTCATGTGTGTGTGTGTGTGTGTGTGTGTGTGTTTTGGCAGTGTCTCCACAACCACTGGAAAAGAAAAAATAATACTACATTTGAGCTTTTACATAAGAAGGAGAGTTTGGTTTGGCCTCAATAATGAAGTTCCACGTCTAACTGACCCCGGATTTAGAGCTGGAAGGAACTTTGACGCAACGGAGTCAGCTTTCAAAAACTGGCTGAACTAAGAGCTGTTGAATTACGGCTCTTCAAACCATGGAATAAAAAATAATAATAATCTTTTTCTCATTCTCACCCTGTGTGTTAACTTTTCAGTTATCATTTGTTTTATTGAAAATATATGTTTCAAAAAACCTTTTTAGTAATTTTTCAGCATTCATCTCTTTTTTTATCCCTGTAAATTCACACACCTTGAACATGGGCATGTATACAAACTAGCTTCACATTGACTAGCTCACATGCTAACTGCTAGCTAGTGGGTCATGGCAGCAAGCAGACCTTTAGCAACTAGCAGTGCAGAACATATCTGTGTGTATTTTAAATATGTGTTTAAATATGCTTGAAGGCTTTCTATGTGATGTTTCACACTTAAATGTAGAAATCAAGTATCTCCTCTGAAAATAACTCTGTGAGTCCTGACTGTCTACAATGGGTGTAACACCCGAGTCCCACTGTCTGTGATGTTTTCAGACTTTTCAGAGTCCTATCTTCACTTTGTTTACATCGCCCGGACGGCCGGCTGACTCCTCCCCTCGTGTATAAAAGTTGTTTAATTGAGGGACTAGAGAAAAGAAGAATAACATACTGTACTCACTGCTTAACTGTGTTTCTAGATCACGCTCATTTCAGGTAAATTTACATGCAGTGTGAAGATACCAGCATCATAAAGATCGCTAGCATTAGCATGCTAACACAACAATGCAGCGCAAGTTGTTTTGGTTTCATGCTGGTGCTCAAGGGCGACATCTGCTGGATCAAAAAAATCACATATAAAGTATAATATCATAACATCTATTTCCTGTCCAATAATATATTAATGACACATCATGATGATATAAACGCACTCAAATGTCATGGGAAAAAACTTGCTACATCCCGCGGTAGCTAGCAGACACTGAGCTAAGCGAGCATAACTATAGCTCAGAGTTGTGTGTTGGGACCTAATTAAGGGTATTTTTGTATTAAATGAAAATGTTTTGGAATAGTAAAAACTAGTGAGGTGTAAATGTTAGCTAACAGTCCTTTACAATTTCAGATCCACAGAATATTTACTTTAAAATATCAAACATTAGATAAGGACACTATGGCCCTTTCACTGTGATCGTAACACCAACACAAAATACAATAAATGCTCAAACAAAAATGTAGTCTTAATAATAATGAGCAGTCCTTCTAAATGTGTTTCATTATTTAAATTTAATGTGGCTATTGTATGTTTGGGTGCATGTACAAATTGAGCAAGTCTTCACCTTTATATCTACGAGAGTGCGAGTCCTCATCGTCTCCATAGGCGTAATGTCCTGACCCTGAGGATGAAAGAAAAGAAGAAAAAGCAACTAATACAACGGAAAAGAGCTGCATCCAAGATGTTAGGCAATGTTTAAAAGCATGTGTCTTTGGCTGCACTGTGAGGTCCTTTTCTTTACTGAAACACAGCAACCAGGAACAGGCTTATAAATATTGGCTAATTCTTCATCGGATCCAGGCTCAGGAGGGGGTCTGGATCTTTTGGAAAAGAACAACTGCATGAAATAAATCTCAAAAGATCCAATCCTTTCCAGCTGGTTTTGAGAAATAAATCTGTGTTACACACAGATTTATTCTGCTCAGTCCAGAGTCTATTCAAAGAACTATTTTTAACGTTTTTGTTCCAAAATAGTCAAGGCCATACTTACCATTATGAGTCAAGTTTCACATTGAACACATCTTTCTTTTTAGAGCATCAGACATTTGGACTATAAAACATCAGCATTCAAGAAGAACTAAACCATTTGTCTGTGGTAGCTGCAGAGTGAAGGACACAGTTGAGTGACGCTGCTAAAGGCCAGATGTGAAGGGAATTGTGATGAGCATGGAGGATTATTTTTGGAAAGAGAATAAAGGGAAAGGATAGAAAGGGGGGCAGGAACTAATAAAAACAGGAAATGGATGAGGAAAGGGTGAAAATCGGGGGGGAAGGGTGGTCAACCTTGGCCCTGGGATGTTTTGAACCCCTGGTGTGAATGCGTCCTCTGTTGAGGATGCACAACGGACGAGTGTTCAACTCTCCTCAGCTTCTTATGTCAGATGCATGTTGGTCAATAAACCAGAGACTGCAGGGCACAACTCCCCAGTCATCACACCATTCCTCATTACGGCTTTTCTGTCAGTCTAATAAACGCTGTCTAGAACAAAAATAATCTAACACGTACACACACACACACACACACACACACACACACACACACACACACACAAGAAACCCTCAAGGTTTTAGCTTTCTGATCACACAGCATGGATTGTGACAGAGAGAACCCACACACTGAGTGAGTCAGATTTAGCCTTCTAATGGGAAAACTTAAGTGTCTGCTTCATAATGCGGAGAGAGGATGGAGATGAGAAATGTATGGAAAACACATGTACCAGTAAAGTCGCTCTCCACAGCAACTTGCAGCCATTACAGGCGGAAACAGAATTTGACAATTTAAACCAAATGGCAAAGGGGAGATACTTTTGATAATAATGCAATAATAAGGCTCACTCTCTATATGCAGAAGATTAGTACAAAAGGGAGGGATATACAGTATCTGTTCTCAGTTTTGAGAGCTTTATGCATTTATGTTTCCTCAAACTTGTTTTTAAATGTATCAACAATCTGGCCCCTGGACCTCTCTCCAGATATGTTCAAAGACAGGACGGAAACAGGGAAACAAGAAGCACTGTGAATGGAAACTGTAGCATACAACATCGTAGATCTACGTTTGGTCAATCAGCCTTCTCCACCAAGCGCTGTAAACTCTGGAACACATTACCACCTGAAATAAAATTAATGTCCGACTTAAAATCTTTTACAAAACAGGTGAAATGCTCAAAGCAAGCCAGAGCTGTACCCACTTTTAAATAATATCTTCAAACTTTATTTTAAACTGGTTTATAGCATTTGTATTGTTGTGCATGTATTTTAATGTATCCTGTGTTATGGGGTTTTATGTAATTGAACGTTGTACATTTTAATCTGTTTGTTTACACAAAGGCCCAACTGGGGACACGAGTTGGAAATTAGCAATATCTATATACTCTTTATGCAGCACATCAGTTTCATGCTTTGTCTTAAAAATTATGTTAAATTGCATTGTCCCTATTAAAATAAATAAATTCAAATTCAATGTAATCTCCATGTTTTTGTACCTCACAACCTCACTGTTAACCATTTTCCCTGAGTGACAGAGCTGTATGATGTAACTGCTAATACAACACTAAGAGTTCCTCCTGCTGCTGCTGCCGCTGCTTTATTAAAGTAATTTGATCTGCAAAACACAGGATGGCTTTTGTTGTGAGGCAGCTGCAGGTGATGCGAGTCGTTAATCACTGCAATTGCCTGAACTGCAATCACTCTTCACCAAACTAATCACCAAAAGAACGAACTGCCATTTCAAGGAACACGTATCAGACTGAACTCCAATACAAAGGAACAATGTTAACCATGTCATGTCATTGAGTGAAATATTACTTACCGTACTCTTCAGACCATGTTGCCCATAGTTTGAGGAAATTAAAACATTTTATTTATTTTTTTTAAGAATTCATTACTACATGAGGTTGTTAGCTGCACATACAATCGCTTTTCTGTTGTATTACTGACTATAAGAAGTGTTTGCTCTTGTCCTTAAAAGTACTCACATGTCCCCAATTTAACAAGGACTTGACATAAAGGCTTTATATGCGGTTTTTTGATCGAGCAGATGTCGCCCTTGAGCACCAGCATGAAACCAAAACAACTTGCAATGCATTGTTGTGTTAGCATGCTAATGCTAGCGATCTTTATTATGCTGGTATCTTCACACTGCATGTAAATTTACCTGAAATGAGCGTGATCTAGAAACACAGTTAAGCAGTGAGTACAGTATGTTATTCTTCTTTTCTCTAGTCCCTCAATTAAACAACTTTTATACACGAGGGGAGGAGTCAGCCGGCTGTCCCGGCGATGTAAACAAAGTGAAGATAGGACTCTGAAAACTGTGAAAACATCACAGACAGTGGGACTCGGGTGTTACACCCATTGTAGACAGTCATGACTCACAGAGTTATTTTCAGAGGAGATACTTGATTTGTATTATATTTAAGTGTGAAAAATCACAAATAAAGACTTTAAACTAATTCATTTAAGTCATTCAAATCATGTTTGTATTGTTTAAAATATTTATTACAGCGGAACATAGTTTGTGTTTGGCGTCTAGACTCCAGGCTCCGACCTAATCACTCCTCACAGTTTGAATTTTCATGCAGAGTAGGGGTTTGGGATGATATCTTTAACCCCCCCAATGGAAGCCTACAGGTGGATGGATGCTGGGGTTAGTGGTGAGGCTGAGCTGCAGGTGACTGCAGGAGTGCAGTACTGCTGCAGGTGAGAGCTGGCAATGACAGAGCAGAGTGAGAGACAGGAAATCCCTCCGCTTAAATAGACAGCTAATTGGAAGGGAGGTGTTGTCAGGTGATTGTTGAGAATGAGGCATCAAGTGTGAAATCAGTGCTGCTCGAGCTGTCTGCCTGAACTAGCTCACAGGCGTCACCTCATTCATGTTAAGGTTGTTTGGTAATTAAGTTTTATAGCTCCCAGACATGAGAAGTAAAACAACCTGCAGGCAATAGGGGTTACTGCAGCAGTGTCTCTTAAATGCCAACTATGATTACGTTTTTTTGAAAGACAAACAACCACAAAACCGTCAAATGTTTCATGTGAAGTTTTAAGCGAGCTGAGACAAAATCTGCCTTGTTATAACTATTTAAATTAGCCTGACTGTTTTCTACAGTCTACATTGTTCATTTGGAACCAAAAATCTGACCTGTTATGATGTCAGTTCAATCAATGCAGTATTAAAGGGATACTTCACCCATTTGCATTAAGCTTTGCATCATTAGAAACCTGGTAGTATTTTTGAATGGTCGTGCATCGCGCCCTCATTTTCCCCTGAGATGGGAACTCTTTGTATTTGTAAGTCTGAAAAGGAGCTTCCAGTGACGCAAAAATCGTCATTTTGAAAAGACACTTTCTGCCTTTTCTCGGCCAAGAAGGCAGCAACTTCTAAATTTTCTTTCACATTTCTACTACATACAGTATATGACCCAATGTCAATACAGATTCATGTTTCAACAGGTGAAGTATCCCTTTAAACACAAGAGGTGAAAAAAAAGAGAAATCCTAACACAAGCCAGAGCAAACCAACTCTCCTGTTGGAAATATATCTCCAAAACATCCTTATAAGTACCACAAATTTTGTCTACAACAAGTTGTGTGGCACTTCTGCAGAAGATATTCTAAACCTGGATGACTGAGAGTCCTCATTGGCGATTCTAGGGTCTGTTGGGGCCCGAGGCAAAATTCATCGGGGGCCGCTCCAACCAGCGTTCACAGATGGATCATTCCTCTTCATTTAACCTTCATTGACAAATTGAAGTTTTCACAGCAATAATGCATGTGACGCTTAGCAGGGCATAGAGAGTGAGTGCTATCATATCGGGGGGGGGGGGGGGGGGGGGGGGGGCTTAGGGAGGCATCCTACTGCCATTGCCAAATGTGCACATTTTAAGGCAATGCTGTGCTTTAAAAATTGTCAGCTGTTGCCCCAGCCCCCACCCCCCCTACTGGCCTGGGGCCCAAAGCAGTTGCCTGCCTTGCCTGTTGACAAGCAGCGCCTCTGAGAGTCCTCACTGGCAATCCAACGAGCGGCTGCGTTTCTGTTTTTCTGGATGCTGTACTGGTTATGCAGAAACTGCTGGCTTAGCAGCTCCACACCTCTATTAAGTAGATGAAGCCTAAGCAGGTCTTCTTTTTGCTCATATACAGTCTGGGTGCAAACAATTCCGAGAAGAAAACAAGAGATGTGGGACTCATCTGCATTCATATTTAATGAATCTGCCAACATGATGAGGTGTGATCTATAGCATCGTACTCTTGTTTATCTCTTGTACTTCAAAGTAGCTCTTTGCTAGGAAGATGTCAGAATGTTAAAAGCACAGAAACATGTCTTCCCGACAAACCTTTGTGAGTGAATAAGCTTTAAATATCAAAAAGCTGATGTTCCAATTAGCCTGCAATACAAACCCTCATTATATAGAACCTCACTCTGTTCAGTTTGAAGCATGGCTACAGGCTGAACAGCTGAAAAGAACAGAACATAAAAACAGACGTCATTTTGTTATCGCTCAATTCTGCACACGATGATAACAGAGTTACATAATTACTTTTTGAGCACTGATGACTTCTGTCCCATTCAAACTTCACAACAATACGTCTGCTGCAATGTCACGTTAGCAGATTTTGAACCTGAGGGGGAAAACTGCTGCTATGGTTTGATGTTTTGATATACTGCATCAGAGCACTGTGAAGTCCAAGGCAAATCTCCCACTGGGACAAAAAAGTTCATCTTCATCTTATCTCTTATCTTATTTTACCCTTTTTTATCTACATTAACACTTTAAGGTGCAACAAACAACAAGTTGTTACGATGATGGATCCATAGCTCAGCACTGTATACTGTATTATACACATTATCATTCTATTTTTATGAATGCATTAGTTGGTGGTCAAACTGAATGCATTTACAAAATACTATTTACTATTTAAAACCTTTTTGAGTCTGCTGTGAATGATAAAGTGCTGCATTACCACAGGGACTCAAAAATTAATATGTGGGGGCGCTGGTGGTGCTGGTGGTGCTGGTGGTGCTGGTGGTGCTGGTGGTGCTGGTGGCGCAGTGGTTAGTGTGCACGCCCCATGTATGGAGGCTGAGGTCAAATCCCACCTGTGGCTCCCTTCCCGCCTGTCTCTCTCTCTCTCCCTGATTTCTGACATTATCCGCTGTCCTAGCTCTAAAATAAAGGGTTAAAAAAAATATTTTAAAAAATAAATAAAATGAATGTGTTGTCAATTGTGAATGATTTCACAAATTAAGTGCACAGATTTATAGTTGTAAACTGATCATTGCATACTTCTGTAGCAACTTATCTGTTCTTAAAGCTACAGTACACTCATCCTGGATTTTGCCCTGAGAATTCCACAAAATATCATGGTCGAGATGTGAGAAGAGGTCACTCATACTGAAGATCTGTAAACAACCACCTGACACTGCAGGTCTTCTTTTCTCTAGTCCCTCAATTAAACAACTTTTATACACGAGGGGAGGAGTCAGCCGGCCGTCCCGGCGATGTAAACAAACTGAAGATAAGACTCTGAAAACTCTGAAAACATCACAGACAGTGGGACTCGGGTGTTACACCCATTGTAGACAGTCATGACTTATTTACTAGGATATACTTGATTTATATTATATTTAAGTGTGAAAAATCACATATAAAGACTTTAATGCAACATTATGACGGGATTCAGTTTGGTATGCTTTGGCGCCCACCAAAGGTCTCTGGATGCAACTGCACTGTCGTACAACACACATAATGTATTGAACTAGCCATCTCTGTGTCGCATTTGCAGCCCACTGTTTCCCCAAAGCTCTCGCCAACGTGTAAAAGCCAACGTTCAATATTTACTCTAGTCAGTCACTCGCTCTTTTTTTCTTCTCGGCTTCATCAATCAGTGTCCTCTTCTGTCTCTTAGCTTCAGCCATTGTATCAAACATTACAGAGACAGGCTAACTAGCTGCTTCTTCTTCTAACTATAGCTGAAGGCTGGTGTTTGAACTCATGCCGCAACCCACTTTTCTCGAGAAAACCTCAGCCCGCTGCTAAAGTGTCATAGAGCTGATATCAGGCGACCAGGTGCTTTGTGGAATTGGGATATAGATGCTGCATTCAACGTGTGGACAGTTATTGTACTATTTTACCGACTAAGAAACTACAATCTTGAGGTGGAAAAGTTACAAGTTGTTGCTTTCAGGACTAACATGAAACACTCGACCATACTCACATCTCTCACTGACTTAAACTGAGCTGCAGAAAAAGCAAATGAGAGTTCAGAGGAGAAAAAGAGACTGGGACAGATACTTCTGCTAACTATTCATTCAAAGCTTGTCTGTTATTTTTGATTCATTTAGCTCCACATTTTAAGTATTCAGTCGGCTTTTTCTTACACAACTCAGCACTCAGAATCAGAAATACTTTATTAACCCCAGGGGGAAAGCCGGTGTTATCATTGCTCTTCACACAATACAGCAATAGGAAATAAAATAGAATAGAGATAATAAAATAAGCAATAAGTACCACTGAAGGACTCTGCAGTGACATTTACTCCTTATATGTAAGATGCATCCGTCCCAGACTCACATCATTCCAATAGTCACAACGGAAAATATGAACTGGCTTTCATGAAAAGAGCCAACAAGGTTCAAGAACTGGCATTTCATTGTGGCACACTGAAACCCAGATCTGAGGCCTAAAAACTCAACTGAGGGGCTGAATGGGCTGATTGACCACCAGAACAAATACAAACGACCCCCTGTAAAATAAACTCATCATAAACACTAATAGGCACACGCACACGCACACACACACACACACACACACACACACACACAAACACACACACACACACACACACACACACACACACACACACACACAAATAGTCCTCACTGTCAGCTCCACAGGCAGTTTCTTCGTCTGTCAGTGTAAATCTGCTCTGCAGCCTGCATTCATGTTTGAGCCTGTATGATCATACAGCAGTGATGAGCCACACTAAAACCATCTACAGGCACAGAGCCACTGTAACTGCACACACACACACACACACACACACACACACACACACAACACACACACACTAACAGCTTTGAAGTAAGTTCAGCTCCTCACTGCAGGCTACTGGCCCTTCTCTGTCTGACTCCATCAAGCTCAGTCTTTTCTTATGTCGGATGCTTCAGTGCTGCAATAAAGGTTGATTTCATTAGCTATTCATTAGGCAGTAATATATTCAGTTTCCTCTGTAAAGACACAACAAATATTTTTTGGGGGAAAATGGTCCATCATAATTCCCTGAGCATTGCTGCATCCAATAATAAGATCAAAAATCATGAGAAACTCAAATTATAGGCCTACTTGAATAAAAAACAAACCAGCTTAATTTTACATAAGAGTGCTTAATTGAATGTATGTCAATCATCTCATCATTATTCATCAACTAATCATGAGTTTGAAAGAAAGAGATGGTGTCTTTTCATCAGTAAATGAATCAGCATTCATAACTTAAATGTTGTCACAACTACCCAGGCAGACCAACATTAACTATGAAAGTCAATTTCAGCGGTTAAGTTTAAAGGCTTGAGGGAAATGGTCGCTCTGAGTTAAGCATGAGTTCCAAGGCGAGGGAAAGTGAAAATTGAACTTCAACTGTACAGCGAGGCTTTCACACAGACTGAGATCTGTGCAGAGAAACGTCCCCCAGATGCACACTGCACTCCCCCCGCTGTCCTCCCCCTCCACGTAAACACAACCGCGGTTCACCATAAAGTTATTAAAGGTGAAGAAAGTCTCAAAAGAACTGCGTAAAGGTGACCCCAAAAAACCTTCTCCATCCACAAAGCGTTTGATCTAAATCCAGATATCTCAAAGGTTTCACAACACAGATAAATAACGATAAACTGATTATCTTATCCTCTTGGTCCCAGCAGGGTTACTTCTGTCAAAAAAAAAAAAAAAAAAAAAACCCTGAATGGAGGTCTTTGTTGGTCCTTACCTTCATACCCGGAGCAGAAGCAGAGCTGAACAAACAGGAGCACCAGCGGCCACATATCCATATTGAGACGCGGGGAAGGACGCTCCTCAACGTGTGAAGGAGAGCTTTCTGCAGGAAAACTTCCAGCAGCGCATTCCTGCTTTCCAAAGACCCGCCTCTTGCTCCAGAAACAAGGGAGGATTCTCCAAATGCAGGCAGGCCACGAGGAGAGGAGGCAGATACTGAAGTTGTGCCAAGCCCTGTGGGTCAACTATGACATGGACTCCATTACCACCAGGAGAGTCCGAAACAAGAGGAATCAAAGCCAGATCTCCTCATAAGAGCCCCTGACCTCGTTTTCTCTCCAGTGATCACTGAGTGCATTTACTCAAAGAGTTCCATGAATACAACAATGAGGTGGTTGGATATCTAACAAAACGTGAACTGCTTCAAAAACACAATGCAATGTAATCAATTAAACCAGTGGATCCACTATAGACTGTAAATAATAAGGGATCTACAGGGACGCCAGGACTTCATAAAAGAGTGATAAATGACAGCTTCAAAGTCTAAATATAAATGCTAAGTTAAATCCTGGTTGTATATATTCCCATTCTTAGTTTTGATATTTTTAGTACTTATTTACTTTGTATTTAATATTATATTGTGTTTAAATTTGCTAATATTGTGTTTTTACTATATTGTGTGTTGTAACGCTGCTGTAACGCCACAATTTCCCAGTTTGGGATCAATAAAGTAATTCTATTCTAAATATGGAAATTACTGTCTTTGTTGTAACCTTTCTAAGCTTATTTGAGGCCTTCAGGAGTCCTACTAAAAATTAAAAATGACTATTGGTTGAGCTGCATCTTTCCACAGAGGGTGAAGTTATGTTGATCTTAGAGGTAAAGGCTGGCTATGTCAGTAATACCATTATACAACATTCTTACTGGGCCATATGGTGGCTTAACCATGAGTAGCCTACTGTATGTTTTGTAATACTTTAGTTTGTCTGCTTAAGTCTAAAGTACTTTCACAATGCTGCTGCTGTAATAAACTTTTACATTTGGACTGTTCTGAAGATTAACTTTCATTTACATCAAAGGTCTCATTGCTTTTGACTTTGAACATTGTACTTGAGATACTAGAAAAGGCCAAAAAGCAAAAAGGAAAGCAAAGTGTAACAACACTAGTCTCAAAATGTTGAGATTTTGTTTTAAATAATTCTAATGGTCACCCTTAACGTTTCAAGCCACTGCAAATGGATCATTAGCAAAAAAAACAGATATAGCACATGGTCTATACTGTACTTACCACAAAAATAACTTCAAGCCACACAAACATGTTGTATTTCTTCCTTTCTTAAAACGCGGACACAAACACAACAACAACATCAGTGAGAAACAGCAACAACACAGAGGAGGAAAATGTTCAAGTTTCAAACATGGGTCGAAGTTTACTCAAAGTTTCACATTCCTTAATGATGAACATTTTACAGGAAGTCAAGATAGATCCAAGTTGTTTCCTAGCAACACTGTTCTCCTGATGTGTCCTAAGGCAACCAAACTTTTAACTAATGTTTTTAGTCTCCTATAGTGGAGGGAGTTTTAATCTTCAGCACAGCAGATGAATTCTGGCTTGACATTTGCACAACCGTCTTTCACAGCTGATTAATATTCCGCTTTATGAGAATAAACACACGGATGCTCACAGAGGGAGAACAGGGCGAGAGTACAGAGCTGCTGGAAGACTAACCAGGGTTTTCTCCCGCACACGCTTGAGGTCTGGTTTTCAGACCCTGGGAAGTGTGCGAGGAGGCGAGTCCACACATGAAGGTGTCGAAGTGTTCTTTATCTTGACAGCAAACAGGAAAGGGCGGTGTGCGGTGAAGCGGCTGCAAGGGGAATCTCCTGAGCTGTAATTATATGTGGGTTCAGCAGACCGTTGAATTGACTCTTTGAGGTCATGTGAGGAAAGAGTTAAAAGACTCTGAGGACTGCCCTGACACTCTGATGCAGAGTCACAACCGATGGTTTGGATTAAAGTTATCTTTTCACTAAGTATATTTTTTACTTGTAAAGCTTTAAGCCTTTAAAAGCATTGTTTTTTGATCCAACAGTAAAATTCCCTCCAAGACACATTAAACTCAACACAGTATGAAATTACTGCAGGTTTGTCCCCATAAAGAGAGGGAAAATCCCCGAGCAACATTTATGGAGGTTGAAATTGGTGCAGTGTACAATCTAAACATCTGACTACTGCAGGTCATGCTGAGGTCTCGGACAGAGAATTATCACCCTTACGGCACTCGAAGCTGACAGTATGTGGGCAGACACAAGGCACTCTCTCAGCAATACAAATATAAATTCTTATATGAGAGCACCAACACAATCACAAACGAATCAAATGAGTCGGGGAAGCAAAGATACAGAGAGGGAGAAGTCTGGTGATATTATGTACTTTCCTTTCTTCAGATCAGTCCCATGAAAAACAGAACAAACTGCAAATTTAAATTCACTGACGGTCAAGAGCAAAAAGGCTTCACTGCAGATCACAGTTCTAAAAGACGTCATCCAGGTGGAGGAACTATAAGATGTTCTTGTTGGTCAATTTACTAAAATATGTCACTGCAGGTCCAGGTAGTGAAAGATTTCCTGCAGGTCGAGGTACAAAAAGACGTCACTGGGAGGCCAGGTTCTAAAATAATTCAATGCAGGTAAAGTTACTCAAAGACGTCACAAGAGGCTGAGGAAATAAATCACTTCACTACAGGATGTGGTTCAAAAAGATGCCACAACCTGTGGAGGTTCTAAAAGACATCAATGCAGGTCTCAGTAATAAAATACTTCACTGCAAAATGTGGTTCTAAAGGAGGTCACTGCAGGTTGAGGTACTAAAATACATCGCTGCAGGTTGAGGTGCTAAAATACGTCGCTGCAGCTTGAGGTACTAATATACATCGCTGCAGGTTGAGGTACTAAAATACGTCGCTGCAGGTTGAGGTACTAAAATACATCACTGCAGGTTGAGGTACTAAAATACGTCTCTGCAGGTTGAGGTACTAAAATACATCACTGCAGGTTGAGGTACTAAAATACATCACTGCAGGTTGAGGTACTAAAATACATCTCTGCAGGTTGAGGTACTAAAATACGTCGCTGCAGGTTGAGGTACTAAAATACGTCTCTGCAGGTTGAGGTACTAAAATACATCGCTGCAGGTTGAGGTGCTAAAATACGTCGCTGCAGGTTGAGGTACTAATATACATCGCTGCAGGTTGAGGTACTAAAATACGTCGCTGCAGGTTGAGGTACTAAAATACATCACTGCAGGTTGAGGTACTAAATTACATAGCTGCAGGTTGAGGTACTAAATTACATCGCTGCAGGTTGAGGTACTAAAATACATCTCTGCAAGTTGAGGTACTAAAATACATCTCTGCAGGTTGAGGTACTATAATACATCTCTGCAGGTTGAGGTGCTAAAATACATCTCTGCAAGTTGAGGTACTAAAATACATCTCTGCAGGTTGAGGTACTATAATACATCTCTGCAGGTTGAGGTGCTAAAATACATCTCTGCAAGTTGAGGTACTAAAATACATCTCTGCAGGTTGAGGTACTATAATACATCGCTGCAGGTTGAGGTACTAAAATACATCTCTGCAAGTTGAGGTACTAAAATACATCTCTGCAGGTTGAGGTACTATAATACATCTCTGCAGGTTGAGGTGCTAAAATACATCTCTGCAAGTTGAGGTACTAAAATACATCTCTGCAAGTTGAGGTACTAAAATACGTCTCTGCAGGTTGAGGTGCTAAAATACATCGCTGCAGGTTGAGGTACTAAAATACATCTCTGCAGGTTGAGGTACTATAATACATCGCTGCAGGTTGAGGTACTAAAATACGTCTCTGCAGATTGAGGTACTAAAATACATCGCTGCAGGTTGAGGTACTAAAATACATCTCTGCAGGTTGAGGTGCTAAAATACATCACTGCAGGTTGAGGTACTAAAATACGTCGCTGCAGGTTGAGGTACTAAAATACATCACTGCAGGTTGAGGTACTAAAATACGTCGCTGCAGGTTGAGGTGCTAAAATACATCACTGCAGGTTGAGGTACTAAAATACGTCTCTGCAGGTTGAGGTGCTAAAATACGTCTCTGCAGGTTGAGGTACTAAAATACGTCGCTGCAGGTTGAGGTACTAAAATACGTCTCTGCAGGTTGAGGTACTAAAATACGTCGCTGCAGGTTGAGGTACTAAAATACATCTCTGCAGGTTGAGGTACTAAAATACATCACTGCAGGTTGAGGTACTAAAATACATCTCTGCAGATTGAGGTGCTAAAATACATCACTGCAGGTTGAGGTACTAAAATACATCGCTGCAGGTTGAGGTGCTAAAATACATCACTGCAGGTTGAGGTGCTAAAATACATCGCTGCAGGTTGAGGTGCTAAAATACATCACTGCAGGTTGAGGTACTAAAATACGTCGCTGCAGGTTGAGGTGCTAAAATACATCACTGCAGGTTGAGGTGCTAAAATACGTCGCTGCAGGTTGAGGTACTTAAATACGTCTCTGCAGGTTGAGGTGCTAAAATACGTCGCTGCAGGTTGAGGTACTAAAATACGTCTCTGCAGGTTGAGGTGCTAAAATACGTTGCTGCAGGTTGAGGTACTAAAATACGTCGCTGCAGGTTGAGGTACTTAAATACATCTCTGCAGGTTGAGGTACTAAAATACATCGCTGCAGGTTGAGGTGCTAAAATACATCACTGCAGGTTGAGGTGCTAAAATACATCTCTGCAGGTTGAGGTGCTAAAATACGTCGCTGCAGGTTGAGGTGCTAAAATACATCACTGCAGGTTGAGGTGCTAAAATACGTCACTGCAGGTTGAGGTGCTAAAATACATCACTGCAGGTTGAGGTACTAAAATACGTCACTGCAGGTTGAGGTACTAAAATACGTCGCTGCAGGTTGAGGTACTAAAATATATTTCATCCGTTCCAAGAGACGTCAAGGTACTAAAGATGTCACTGAAGATCGAGGTACTGTGGCAGCACGTCGTTCCAGAACTGTTTAGGGTCATCGGGTTTCTTCTTCGTCCTCAGAGCTGGTTTTGGTTTC